ACTACTACTACTACTGCTACTGCAAGCCTCTCGGCTGCCTAGAGCGCTGGAGCGCTACGCAGGATAGGGTACGGCCTGTGCTCTCGGAATACACATGAATTTCCAGGCCTTCGTGCTCTGTTGTTTCCTGCGATACACAACATGTTTGATGACATCTGGAACCCGTGCACAAACAAGATACCAGTGGGGCCGAGCAGACAGCACTCCCAGCACGTGTCGCCTTACAGGGCTCACAGCAAGGGAGGATCAGCAGACAATATGGCAAGGCGCTCTCGAAGGGCCCCATGGCATCCGGATGACTCGGACACAGAGTCGTTCCTGGAGATGACTGCGGAAGAGGCTTCAGGGGCTCCGAGTGCAAGGCCGGCATCGTTTCGGCCACCTGAGCCAGCGGGGCAGCCTCCCCCGCAGCCCATTCAAGTGCTCGCACCAGCTGCCCACGCCATCGCCCGCGCAACGGCCCAGGCCATGAGAGAGCTAGGGGGGAATCCCCAATGGATTCTTTGTCATCTACCTTTTCATTGGGCTGAGTATGGCTCAGTACGGCTGTGTGTTCAACCGTGGAGACAGAGCGACGACGACCACCCGAACCTCCTCTACGTCGGGGAGGACGAGGAGGACAACGAGGAGCCCCAGGGCGAAATGACATCTACGTCTGCCGCTGTCGTGGAGGACACTGAGGACCGAATGGCAGACCCAACCCACACCGCCAGGATCTGCATGGAAGCGGACATCGCCCTTGAACGACTCCGGCGGGACCTCGCGGACACCGAGCACACTGCAACCGGAATTGCGACAGGAGATGCGGTCATGAACGATAACACCGGAGCCTCGTCGTCAACCATGCCACCCACGACTACCACAGCCGCTCCGCCTGCAATGACCAGATCTTTCAGAGGCCGAGGCCAAGCCCAAGCCCACTCCTGCCCGCAAGTGCGGGACCTACGAAGTGCCTTGCGCACGCTTTCTCATAACCCTTTGCTGAAAATTGGTACTTCTCTCTCGGGCTCAGGCGAAGACGTTCAGGCTAATAGTCAGTCTGAGGGGGCTGTAGACAGGGACCCGAAAGTTCCCTATATCCCACTCCACCATTGGTGGGGCCGGAGCGTTTTGCCACAGAGCCTACGGCTGAAGATCATGATCTGCAGATTGCGATGGCACAAAATCAAGTCGCTCTCTTTGCTGTCTGCATTGTTGCCAGTGCTCATGCTCATGATCCCCTACACGATCCTCTACGATCCTCTGCCTACATGCATCATAAGCTCTACGGCAGCCAGGTACAGTCCTTCGACAACATTGCGAGCGAGGGCAGGGTCCTTACTGCGTATGTCCCAGGTGGCCCCGGCCGGTACACATGGATTGCTGAATTATATCACAGCCTTGCACTGGCACAGGCGGCGACTACAGCCAAGACTTCGTCCTCACAATCCGGAACCACAGGCTTCAACGAGACTTTGTGCACACTTTCGTTCCATCCTCCTGTCATTGACCATAGGACTTCTCAGCGCCGCGCTCTTTGTACGCCGGGCCAGTCCCAAGTCTGGCCGTGCCCACAGGACATGCTCACGATGGCTGTTCGTGATGGTCTTCTTGTTGAATCTTCAAGTTGCTAGAACAGTGGGTACAGAGGCGAGGGTTGGCATCGACCCCGCTAGGATGCCTGAAGTCGTCACGACAAAGCTTGCGGGAACACGGGAGGCAAAAGAGCCCAGATTCACAGACAGTACCAGGATCAAACGTAGCTATCAACGTGCTTTCTCCAGGCCTTGCCGGACTGGTGGTGCTTTACAGAGGCGTGTGGAGGGAACATCGATGGTTCCGTCCGGTGTGCCAATCCGCGCTAGATTTCTGCACAGGACCATGGGCTCGTCTAGGACCACATCGACCAGGTCTCTTCGAGTTCTCACATGGAACACAGGAGGGCTTCATTCCCAAGTTTTTCGCGAGGTCGAGACCTACGCCAAAGACGCCGCATTGGACTTTTGTGTCCTCCAGGAAACGCGTGGGCTTATGATGCCAATTGGAGCACATCTGACTTCCACTTCATCCATTCCGCAGGTCACTCTTCGGAGGACAAGGTCGGTGGCTTGCTGATTATGGTGTCGGTGCGGCTGGCCAAAAGCTCAGATATCCAGTTCCATGCAGTTCACCCTGGCAGACTCCTGCGCGTCCGTGTTAATCGGGCACATCCCATCGATATCCTCAACATCTACCAATATACTGCTAACGACAACAGGCTCACGCCGGCACGCAGGCAGCAGTACCTCACACGACTTCAAAAGACTCTACGACGCATCCCCAATCGACATGTTCTGATAGCAGCAGGGGACTACAACACCACTTGTGTTCCTACGGACAAGGTGTGCGGCCCTTGGACTATGCCTCCGCCGGAGAGACACCATAAGGAATCGGGGGACCTCATGGCCATCTTCTCGGCTCATGCCTTATCAGTGCTCAACACTTGGAACCGCCCTACACACAGGCAGCTCGCTACATTCACCTTCGGTGACCTCTCTTCCCAGATCGACTACATAGTCTGCCGACAATCGCAGGCCACGAGTCGAGCCAAACAGGCTGAGGTCCTACTCCAGTTCCCGGTAGCATGCTGGCGCGAAGGTGCTACTCACCACCCCGTACTGGCCCACATTGACGTCCCAGTCCAAGCACGGCAGCACCAAACAGCTGAGGTTCGGCCTGCTATTAACGTGCAGCAACTGATCGAAGATGTCAGGTCAGCCCAACCTCCAGAAGCACTACGAGAATTGCGGGGTCGCGTACAGCAGGGACTCTCACAGGCTCATTGGGCAGATTTACAACACCTTGAGAAAGACATCCTCGTCATGGCAGGTGACCTATACCCCAAACAGCGGCCTGGTACCACGACACAGGACAAGGCCGTCGAGGAACTGCACACCAAGGCCAGGGTCATGTGGGGACTGTTCCGAAGCATGAGGGCCCAACCCTTTACGGTGCAGGGGGTCATTACGGCCTGGCAACAGTGGGCTACCTTCAGCTGCGCACACCGGGAACACAAAGCCCGGGCCAAAGAACGAAGCAAAGCACGTAAACGTGATCTCCTTAACACTGCACAGCAGGCAGCTCAGCGGGGAGGCATGCATCAAGTTTGGAAAGTGGTCCAGACCCTGGCTCCAAAGATCAAACGTAAGCCACTCCAGCTCTACAAGGAAGGGAGGATCATGGCCCCCGAAGCGGAACTGGATTGGATCATCGAGGCGTTTGGGGAAAGATATGGAGCCCGCTCGCCTCCGTGCACCAAACACATCAGGACTCAGCCTCCTGTACAGGTCTCAGCAGCGGAGGTTTGGCATCATCTGGAAAGATTGCCGGTTCGCAAGGCCGTCCCCAAAGCGGCAGCCCCGTCTGTTCTTTGGAAAGCCTGCTCAGCAGAGGTCGCTCCTTTCATAGCCCAGCAGGTCAACAGCCAGTGGAGCAGTGAGGAGCTCCATGTTGATCAGGACTGGGCCAACGCCACTGTAGCACTTCTTCCCAAACCTAAAGGTAAGAATGACCGGCCACTCGATTGGAGGCCAATTGGCCTCCAGCATCCGGTTGGAAAGGGGCTGATGAAGATCCTGATCGGCAGGGCGAAGGACCAGATTCATGAGATGGTCTGTCACTGGCCACAGTGCGCGTACGTTCCGCGCAGGAACACATTTACTGCGCTGAAACGCGTCCTGAATCACTGCAGGACTGTGAGGGACCAAGCGGCTAGACATAGACTTAGCATACATCAACAGCGCGAAGGAGTCCAGCAAATCCCCAGCAGCGGGGGGCTGCAAATATGCATGGACCTTACTGCTGCATTTGACTTGGTCTCTTGGGGTACCATTCGTGAGGCCCTCGAGCTGGCCCAGGTGGATCCTTCCACACAGGAGGTGCTTCTGCGATGGCTCAGTCAGGTCAAGTACATCTTTCAGCACAAGGACCTTACAAAGGAACTCTGGCCTAGCTGGGGCCTACGTCAAGGCTGCATTGGAAGCCCCGTTCTGTGGTCAGCCTTCACTGCCCTCCTCTGTCAGGCGCTCGACAATAGAATGCACCAAACATGGATCTCTGACCATGCCACGCTCTACGCAGATGACAGCCACTTGCGGTGGACCTTCCGGTCGGTTGCTCAGTTTGATCATGCTATACAAGAGCTTCGCTGGACCTTCGCGATCTTCAGGTGCGTCGGGATGAAGATCAATCAGGACAAGACCCAGGCAATTCTCTCGGTCACTGGGAACATCAAGCATAAGATCCATAAGCTGTATGTGCGCAAACAGGGCGGCGTCAGACGGCTGCTGCTATCCCCGGGTGATCCATCACAATGGATTCCACTGGTGGACAAGGCGGAGTACTTAGGACTGATCATATCCTATGACCAATTTGAGTGGCAATCCGTTCGGCATCGAGTTAGTAAGGCTCATAACCGACGGTGGGCCCTGGCTTCCATACTGCATGCCAGGCGAGTTTCAATACCCTACAAGCTCAGACTCTGGCGAAGTTGTGTGTTATCCACCATGATGTATGCCTTGCATTGCCTATGTTTGCAACCTGGACAACTTCAGTTCATTCAGCGAGCCATCATGAAACATGTCAGGGCCATTGCCTCAGACCAAGCCTTCATCACGGGCAACACACATGCTGAAGTTTCACGTCGGCACGAGGTTCAGACGGCTCATGAGCTGATCAACAAGGCTCACAATAATGAATTGAGGATCGCGCAACTGGGGGACTGGCTCATAGAACATGACTACAACCAGGCTATCAGCCAATGCCTACTACAGGATCAGCTCCAGACAGCGTCGGACTCTGAGGAGGATCGTGAAGTCTGGGCGTGTCCTGTATGTCTCGAACAATTCCCTACCACAGCAGCGCTGAAGGTGCACGCCAGACGCAAACACAAAATTGTAGATGCCCCCGCCAAGGTCTTTGACCGCACCAAGCACTCAATCGCTGGCTTACCTCAGTGCTCTGGGTGTTTGAAAAAGTTCAGCAGGTGGCAAACACTTGAGTGGCATATCAATCATCATGCTTGTCCTGCTCTTTCAAAGTCGGACGAGGCCTCAGCCATATGTGAAGAGAATCAGAGGGCCGTGTCGGACAAAGCTAAACCCACTACAGCTACTCCGGCTCCGAGTTCAGACGCATGCGGTGATCCCATGAATTCCGTTGACCAGCATCCGCTGAATAGGCAAACTCCACTCATACAGCAACATCAGATCCAGGATTTGGTGGAACGAGGTCTCAACAGCTTTATACAGCACAGTGCTTATGCAGCACACATGCAACACTACTGTGCTTTCTGTACACAGTGGATCGCCTCACCGAAGGTCATGAAGCTTCACTACCGAAACACTCACCCAAAATTATTCCAGCTCCTTAGTAGCACGGCTCGTCGCAGCATCGAACAACGAGCCACCCCGTGTACTACGTGCCACTATTGCGGTCGGCAAGTCAAGGACTGGAGGGCGCACCTCCTCAAGTGCACTTCGCTGTGGCAAATCTCTTTTATGTGTGCCTACTACCAAGTACTCGTGAAGACAGGACTACAGGATGGACGCGGACATGGCGGGGGATTCGGGAGTACTCACCCATGGGCCCACTCCCCCCCCCGGACCCATTTCAGGACTTTGCGGAGGGAGAGAAGGACAACGGCCCGAACAAACGGCGACGGGAACCATTTGTGGGAACACGGCCCCCTCGGAATCCGTTTGGGAGAAGCCCCTTTCAGCACCAGGCCTTCCCGCACATGCAGGCTCCACCGCACCAGCGCAGCGATCCATTGCTGCATACTTTAGCCAAAACAGTGCTGCGCCAACAAGAAGAAATCCGTCTACTTCGTCAAGACACAGCATTGATAATCTTCCTGAAACCAGGGCAGGACTCAATCTTGCACCACCTCTATCAAGTGGCGGTGCAGTTCAAAGCCAAACAGGAGGCAGAGCCGATTTGGTCCTTAGGTCAATTCCCTTTGCGGATGGTGCTGGCCAACGCCTTATTTCGGGAGCTCATCGAGAGACTGAACAAGGTCCTTGCATCACAGGAGCGGTTGAAGACGGTCATGGATCAGGGCTGGCGGGACGACAAAGGATGGAGGTTTCAGAGCACGACCGCAGCCGTCCGTCCGTACCGGACGATCAGCTGCTGGACCATCTGGCCACCGTCCAGCAGTGCTTGAAAGCAGTAATTATCACACGGTTTTGTTGTACCAGGAAGCTGACGGAAACGATGACGTCTCCGGCCACGTTCAAGATGGACATATCGCTTCGCAGCCACAGTGCACTGACCATGTGGGATACCATGCGCACACTTCAGGGCAACACGATCTTCCAGTTGGTGGGGATGGGCTACAAAACGGAGTCCTTGGGCAGGGGACCGGAGGAGCAAAGGCTCAGAGACATGGTCTATGGGCGCCGGTAGCCTCCTCGGCATCCACGGCGACAAGTGCCATCTCCTCGGCGCCGCCATCAGTCCTCAGGCTATCTCTTCTAAACCGTACCTCCATCTGCTATATGAAGTCGGCCTTGCAGGTTCTACTTTGGCTGCTTCATCACCTTCATGTGCCGGATGATGTGGTGACGGGCCCAGGCTTCCAATTCTGTCGTTCTCTCCTTCTTGGTAACCACAGTCTTCGGTTCAACTTGATGCAGGATGGCGATTGGTGTTCACTCATACAAGGGTGGGGTGAGGCACATCAACAACACGATGTATGCGAGTTCCTGAGATTCCTCTTGCGGGTCCGAAGACTTTGGCCTGTTCTCAGGCTCATGGCAAGCTCGAATGCCTGCCATGGCAGGGGTTTCTCATCATCTGGATATGGGGCTGTGTACTCAGACAATTGTCCTCCACCTACCGAGCAGCAGCTGCACTCAGCTCAAGGTGCAAACACTTCTGGATGATTGGTATCGATGTTTTGACCGTTTTCATGCCCTTCAGGCGGAACCCCCAGTCGTCATGTTGCAGCTTCATAGATTTGACAGACGCATGGGCCGTATACATAAGAATCAGCTCAAGGTCATGATCGACTCAAACATCCGGGTTCCCGTTTTCTGTGGGGAAGGCCACAATGTTCGCTTCAGCCGCTACCAGCTGAGTGCATTTATCGAACATCATGGGAGCACGCCTCAGTCGGGTCATTATACTGCTACCCTGGCTCAGGCGGAAAACTTTTGGAGTTGTGATGATGGAAGACCGGCCAGAAAGCTGACAGAGCTGAAAGTTTCGCCACATAAAGCTTGCTATGTTCTGTTCTATAGTCATGAAGAAGCTCTGGAGCGGACGGTCGGCACAAGATAGTTATCAAACCTGGCGCCATGCATGCTTTGGGTCCTACGGGACGGTGTATGGCGCGTCTGTTGGAGATGACAAAGTCATGAATCATAGACTCCGGGCGATGAATTATCGCTTGCTCATCACCCGACGCCTGGCGACCGGACATTCCGCGCTGCGTGCAATGCTCAATGCTACTGCTACTGCTACTGCTACTGCTACTGCTACTGCTACTGCTACTGCTACTACTACTACTACTACTACTACTACTACTAATACTACTATCGCAGACATAGATTGGTGGGGTTTAGATCCCTGAAGGCCCCACCGGGCCAAGCAGAATGCTTGATGCCTCGGGGGTTACCCGTTCAAAGGTGGAAGCCCCTTGATCTTGTGTGAAAGGTATTGTGGAAATCTTGTTTTTGAGTTGCCTTGCCTGCGGAGTCGACCCTGGTTGTTCACACTTTGAACAGAGTATTCTTTTTGTGCAAGCTGTTGTGGGGCTGGACGATGAATCTGCTTGCAAGTGGAAGGGGCAAGTGCCAGTGTGTGTTTTGAAAATCTTGTCGTTGAGTTGCCTTACTTGAGGGCCGCGTGCCTACCGCAGTTTTGCTACCACGAACGACCACGACCACTGCTGCTACCACCACCACCACCACCACCACCACCACCACCCCCACCACCACCACCACGACGACGACGAAGACGACGACGACTACGACTACGACTGCGACTACGACTACGACTACGACTACGACTACGACTACGAGTACCAGTACGACTACGACTACGACTACGACTACGACTACGACTACGACTACGACTACGACTACGACTACTACGACGACGACGCCGACTAAAAGCCGGTGATCTGCCAGGCGGACATCCATCGGATAAAATATCGCCGAGCTTTTTGCTCTCCATGCCTCCGACCCTAAGCGTGTGTCCCTCCGCTGTAAGCACGTGTTCTTGTCATTGCATCGGCAACTGTGGCAAAACCCTTGCTTGCCTTCGTGGCGGATCCAACGCAAAGTGCACAAAGAGAGCCTGGAAGGAGCTACATCCGGACATTCCTTCTTTCAAGCTTGCAGTGGCCTGGCAGATAACGGGTGCTCAGGCAAATAGCCTGGTCTACATGCTAAGAATGTTCAGGTGGGGGCTTGCCGCGGAAGGTGGCCCAGATGAATCTTCAGACAGGGACGTGCTTGTTCCCGCCATGCTCTGAAGTGCGACTTTGATTATAGCACTTCTTGGTGGAATCCACAGCTGCCAACTCAGGCTGCAAGAGCTGCTCAAAGCGCAGCCGCAGAAGGGCAGCCGGCAGAAGCTGCTTTAAAACGAGCGACTGCCACACCTTTCCTCATCATACAAGAATGGAACCAAATGCGCAACGCTTAAATTCGATTTGGCTTCAAGGCAGAGCTCCCGGAAACGACATCCAGGTGGAACTTCGAGGCTGCTCGCGGCCAGGCTGCAAAGATCTGCAAAGTGGCTTGCACGTAGCGGGGTAGCGCCTGCCTCCTGTGCTGACATCCAAGGCAGTTCCATGCCGAGATCCGTGTTCTCCCTCCAAAGGACGGGTAACGAACCAAGAAGGGTTCAGGGTACCGATCTGATGACTCTTCAGTTTGGGCTCCCCATCTAAAGCCTTTTCGACATGAGAGAGAGTGGTCCCTGACAGTGAAGTCTTATTTGGTTTGTGCTTGATCGTATTCTGAACGACTCCAGCTACTCGAACAGACTTCACGTGGGGGCATTGCTTTGCAGCTTCCGTTCGGGCTTCGGTGTCGGACGTCGACGAGAAAGGGTGCGCGAAGTGAGGGAGCAAGGATGACTGGAAGATGGAGGAGGGAAGGACGAAGGAAAGGGCTTTCTCTTTCAACTGTTGACTGGAAGACCCTCCCCAACGCACGGATGGCGTGACATTTTCTGAATCGACTCAGAAAGAACAGGCCACGGAAGGGAAACTAAGTTCATGATCTGAACAGGATGAGGACAGCCCGCCAAGATTGGTGGTCTGGCGCTGAGATGCGCTCAGCACGAGTCGTCGCTGAAGACCGATGTAAACGCAAGAACTCCTGATCCGGCTTTTCTTTGTTCGGCTTTGTCATAGGTGCGAGACCTCTCCATGAACGGGACTGGTCTGAAACATGGTGACAAGCCAGCTGCCGGAGCCTTGGCGTTGCCATGCCTGCACATGAATTGAGAGTGATGTTTCACCTGTGGCCGCAGTGGGCCTGGAGCAGCCGGGACAGGGTCTTTGCAAGAAGGGCCGCCCAGCCGCCCAGCACCAGCACATGGCAATGGCCAAAACCGCGTCAGTGACGCGTCTGCTGCCGACGTGGGATGAGGATCCGAGCCTGAAAGTCAAATTTCGGCAGTCCCTTTGGGACTCTGGAGGGCCTCGGGCTCGACGGCTTCACGGGCTTCTCCAGTGCCATGAGAAGCTTCGTGTACACATTTGGAGCCTCAACCTGGAAGATTTCTATATCATCATGATCACATGCAAGGACACAGAGCTGCTGAGAAATCTAGGTGAGGATCATTGCTTCCCACGGGGATATCCGGTTTTTTGGCGGCCGGGCCAGCGCTTGCACCTCTGTGGCTTCTATCCGAAATTCAAGAACGATGCAGAGTATAGATCGCTATCGACAGATGGCGTTTCGCACCTTTCGCTCACCATCAAGTGGTCTGGCTTTCTGTTTGCCTTGCTCGCGTTTTCACACAAAGATGAATACTACTGGGTCGTAACATCGAAGAACAGTGCCAACTGCAGCCAGTCCTATCTTGATGACTTCACGCAACTGGCTGCAGATGTGATTGTTGCAGAACTAGGCGAAGCTCTCCCACTTGTAATCCGTCGCCTGGCGGACAGCCAGACCTACCTATGCGGCGAGTGCCTGAGCATGTCCGACCAAGGACATGGATATGCCTACCGCAAGGAAGCTGTCATGATTACTTGTGCAGGCAGGTATGACAATCAGTACTTCCCGGAGGAGGAAGATGCTTCGTTGCTGTTACATTTACCTCCTGGGGAAATTCGTGCTGTCGCGAGGGAATGTGGGTTGCGATGTGTGCAGGTGCTGGAGGTCCCATCGGGCAAGGTGAAGCGAGTCGTGGGCGAGCTGGAAGGAATGCGTGATTTTCTGACCGCGAAGACGACGATGCGCCTGCTTGCTCGATACGGCTTGCCTGTAGAACAGTTTCGGGAACACGCAGACTTGATCGATTCCGATACCCTGGAGGGCTTGGTTATGCATTACCACTATAGTGACCGGCCATCTGTCCGTGTGAAATGGAAGCTTCCACGCTATACTTTCGTGACAACGCTTCTACGCCCCGTCAGAAAGAACAACGTGGCTAGTGCCAAACTAGTGGACATGTCAGCTTCGATGGCCAAGCAGTGGTGTCAGACAACGGAGGGCTGCGACTACTACACCTGTTTCGGTGTGCTGGCTGGCGAGCTCGTGAAAGACTTACCTTCTGGAACACTCATAGCCCCATGGATCTCCGCTGCAGACGAGGCCTTCGGTGCGGGGGCCGCTGCGTCGTTTTCCTGTCAGCCACCGTCGCTTTCGATTTTGCACGTAACTCCCCCAAGTTTAAGCCAAATCGACTGCTCCAAGATGACAACACTTCCTGGCTAGTGAAACCTGACCTCACCACCAGCAGCACGCTAATAGCTCAACAAGATTTCGCAGCTGCTCTAGCACCGCGGCGCACCCAGGGCGGAGGTGTCAGAATCACGGGTTAGCAAAAGCCTGGTAACTCGCCAACCCTGTCAGAACTTGGAAGAGGCTTCAAGACAAGCGAGAGCGGACCAGGCACTTAGCCTGCGGGATATTCGGAATTGAAGGCAACGTAAAGGCCGAACATGGCCCCTGGCAAGCCCGACAATCCTACCCTCTGTTGGAACGATGCTTGACGGGTTCGACGAGTGATAATATTAGATTCTTTTTCTCCAAAGTCTGCCAGGTTCTTGCGATGGAGCACGGTGAGGTACTGCGACGCGGCAGGCAGATCATCGACCAGACGCGGGAGAAAGTGTCGGCAGCACTCACCAGATCACGGCACATTCTGCACATCCAAAAGCATGACTCCATTGGATGCGCTCTGGTGACCTTCACCAGCCCAGAGGCCGGACTACAGCACACATCGAAATCTTCTGAAGTTTTGTCGGCCCGAATCCAGGCTTGCCATCGTCTTCTGCATGCGGGCAACCGACTGGACATTGGTGCAGTCGTAGCTGACGTAAAGCGCCACACTGACAAGACGACAGGGCAACCTTCAGCAGACACCGTGTTCGTTGCTTGGGGGAGACAACAAGAGCTGCCGCTCAGATTTCAGTCATAGCAGAGGCTTGAGCTCGATTTCTGCAGAATCGAATGCCACCTGTTCAGCCAAGGAATGCACCAGTGAGCGGTGAAGCATTGCTGGCGGCATTGGAGACTTGTGTTTCCGGAGCTCCTGCAGTGCCGGTGCTTGCTTCGCATGCTTCGCCAGCCAGACCCGCTCCCCAGAGGGGCAGCTGGCAGCTGAGGTACCGGTAAGTGTGGATGTCTTGTTGGGCCGCTTGCCATTGGGTTGCGTAGACTACTGGCACAGGGTCTGCATGGTAACCGACACAACGCAACAATGCTGATGCTGGCGGCTCTGCTGTTGGGGAGTCCCCATTGCTCGTTGCGATGGGGGCGCATGGGAACGCTTGGGGACACGGGCAGGGTTCTCTGGAAAGACCCAAACAAACAGTGCCACATGCAGAGTCGCGAACTCTTGTTGAACGGCTGCCCAACACACAAAGCGAGGTTCACTTCAGCTGTGCCTCGTTACTCGCGGTGAGAATTTGAAACGTGTCGTTGCCGCAAAATGAGGCATCGAGCATAACGGCGTTGACAAGCAGGTCTACCCAACGTGGGTGAAGTCTCACGTTGATAGGGAGGCACATGAAAGCTTCATTGGTGACCAGCCTGAATGGGCCTCTGTCTGCAACCAGCGTACGGACACTGCCTGAGAGAGGGCGCATAAGCCCGATCAGCAGGCTTTGTGTGATACAGACATAAACCGATGAACCGATAACAGTCGTTCCATATTCAACAGCACTTGCTTGCTCGCATTACTGGTATCCCACCGGTTGTTCTACATCAGACCAAGCTTTCTGGGCACTGGTCTGGGCCGCGTTCGTCGACTAAATATTTTTTGGACGTTTTACGGCTGACACGTTCGTGGCATCACTGGCAGTTTGGCAATCGCCAAGCTTGGTGCCTGAATCGTGGGACCAGGCTAGTCTCTAGAAGTTCTCTAGATCTGTGCCCATGTTTGATGATAAGCTTGAGCCCCTGGCCGTGCAACCTCGCCCGAAATCCTCTGTAGATTTGGGTTTCCCTCGGTGTGTATTCTTTTTTGATGGGCTAGGGAAAGTTTGGCAATGTCGTTGTGGGCTTAGGCCGGTAAACCTTATCGGTAGTGAAGCATGCCTTCGTCGAAAGAGCATTCGGATTGCAGATTGCGAGGCTCGTCCTGCGAGGGATCATGGGGTCCGGAAAGAGCACGTTGGCGCGAGGGCTCGCTGCTGAGCTGGGCGCGGTCTGCATCAGTGCCTTGGAATATTTATGACCTTGCGTTGGACATGTTGCACTTGCTGCATTGCCAGACGAAGCACGGTGGGCGAAGGTCAAGATGACTACGCACATCATGGCAAGGATGCACGCCGCTCTTCGTTCCTGGACGAGGCATTCTTGATGAAGCCCCGTGGTGAATGTCATTACACCGCCCTGTTCCAGGTCCGGCAGGCAGCTTCCTCGGTGGTAATTCTGGATCGAGTGAACTCCCTCCGTCGCCATCGAGTGGAAATTTTGGAAGTGCTAGATGATGATGGTGCCGCTGTGCTACTCTCGCTCTTCCATCCCGTCGACCCTCCAGGACGGGTATGGGTTCGAACGTCTGAACCCGTAGTCGTGGCGGTCCTGGCCATTTGGCAGGTGATGCAGGAGCTGCTGCCCTTCAGCTCTGTGAAGCTCGTGTACAGCAACGTGGGGATCACCAGACGCTTTCTGGGAGCAGGCCCTACCAAGCTATCTGCATGTTGAGTCGTGGATTGCTTTGGACATGCCGCAAGAAAGTAGGACTGTTTCAGCCAGGACAGACTTATCATCGATTCTGCGATGCACAGCAAACCTCATGGAGCCCATCACAGATGCGGAGGTGGCAGACTTTTTTGCCCACGTTCGGGTGGATATGACGATGTCGCCGCAAGATGCTTTATCCTTCGTTCTTGAGCAGCTCAAGTCTTTGGGCTTGGTAGAGCAAAATGAAGCTGGACGTTGGAATGCACGCGCAGTTGCTGTAGTTGCACCTCCGCGCGTGGATGACAATCAGCGCCGGGGCTATACAGACGCTGTGACGGAGATCTTCCGGTTTGCGCCACCCGGATTGTTCGAGTGCGAAGCTCCACGTAAGCTTCGTTTACGGGTCTCTTTCGAGCTTGGGGCTGGTCTTCATCTGCGGCCGTCCTGGCACGGAATGATTGTGGATGAGATAGAAGACTCACCTGGCCAACCTGACTTGAGGTTAGGCGACTGCATTCGACAGATACAAGCGCCAGGGCAAGGGGCGACATGGCACAAGCTTCACGACCTCGGACATGAAGACTGTGAGTTGCTTTTCGCTCAGTCCTTTCAAGACGGTGCTCAAGTATTGCTGGAGCCCCATTGCGAGACTTCCGGAAATCTGCCCAAAGGACTCGAAGGCCTACTGGATGTGAGCATGCTTCGAGCAGATTTGGCGAGCTTCGGTACGGACTTTGATGTGGAGCTTCACCTTTGCTGGCCAACGCATGCCGCACGGCATGCAAAGCATGTTTTCCTTGGAGTTGGTTATTCACCACCCGGCAGGCAAGCTGTATAGCTGCTGTCTGGCCATGCCCTTCTGTCTGCAGGTCGTGCTTGCAGGCCCAAGGCCTGCTGTCGCCGCTGCGCGTCTACCAGCATCACAACTTCTGAGCCGACACATCCAGTCGACATCGTCATGCGGAAAAGCTGTGCGCTGGTAAAACTGCCATGGGCTCTTCCAGTAGACTTGATTCCGCGAGGGCCCCAGTCAATGAACCATGGCACCTCTAGAACTCTTGCACAGTCTAGACGGTCTAGACCGGTTCCAAGAGTTGGAATGTGGGTTTCGACTAGATGAGATTTCCAACTCTTCTCGCAGCGTTTGGTGCAGCTGGTTTTTCCTGCTCGTGATGTGGTCCAGCCACTGCAATGGATGAGAAGGATCCGGAGCTTCCACAGAAGCGGACTCGCAGGCTACACCACTCGGAACTGAATCTTCGGCCACAACCTGCTGGTTCTGCCAACTTTTTGCTGATCCAGTCCTGGGCGATTCCTGATCCAGAGCCATGTCCACAGTTCTGTGAATTGCTTTTTTCAGTGTCTGGCATCTACAGTATTACACTAGTTGGATTTATGTTGCTGCTACACGAAGCGAGACTCTTGTGCGTAGTACTTGTGTAGTGTACCGCATGCAAACGGCATGCGTGACCCACGCCCCTTTTCCACCATGTGTTGGCTCAGGAAGCACCACTCCATTTTCGTGCAGATGACTCGCGGGTGGACTACCACTGGTGTGCACCAGACGGCGATGTGTGCAAGCGCTGGGAGCAGAACGACGGCCTGGCAACTAAACCCCAAGACTCTGATGCCGGTTGGACGGTTTGGTGCTTTTGTGGCGAGCGAATGCAACTAATTTCGTGTGAAGAACCGTGCCGACTCGAGCTCTCCTGCACGTGCCCGATCTGCGGCAAATTCGCACAAACTGGACTTCGCTTCTTAGCGAGGGGGGATGACATCTGGCATTGCGCCACGTGCGGGGCGACCGAGCAGACGAAGAGAGGATCTCGAGAACCATTGGGGATACCAGGCTCACCAGAACTTCGGATGCTACGCGAGCAAGGTCATGTGCTTCTCGAGTGTGTGCGCCTGTCGCTTGGCAAAGATGCTGCTTACAAGGCTGTCGGACAGCACTTCCACTTTGGGCAGTCTGGCGTCGCAGATACAGCTCGTGCAATTCATGCTCTGCGGCAAATTGTACCGAAACAGTCGGACGCCAGCCTGCGAGTCTCCGCCCAAAAGCGGCGCCTCCTCCGTCTACAGGACGACGAGTCTAGCTGTCGTGCACTGGCTACTGAGTTGAAAGAGGACATGTCCCAGGACCTGAAGGACACTTTGCTTTTTGGCTTTGCAAATGCGGGGCATGCCAGCCTGCTGCGACTCTTGCTGGAAGCAAGGTGCAGCGCCAATGTGCAACGCACGAAGGACGGATGTTCGCCTTTGCACTGTGCTCTGGTTCATGGCAGGCACGATGCAGCAAATGTGCTAGTTGCTCACGGTGCCTCACGTGCTTTGCGCAATAATGCTGGTGAGAGACCGGACGACCTTGCAACGTCGTGAGGGTGCAGCTTGACGAAATGTGAGCCAACCGGTGCCTACTTCAATAGGCGACGGCATTGGGAGGAAATTACAATTGCCCGATCGGTGGCACATGCGTCGACGCTGAAAAAAGGGCGCGCATGAAAGTTCTAGATGGGTGCCTTCAGCAGGCTGATTGAACTGCTCAGGTTCAGACTAAGAAGGAGAAGGCCCTCTCGCTCGTCCGAATCCTGGCTTGTGGTCTGCGTAGATTTGCAACATGTGGCGTGCAGGATGTGCAGCTGTATCATGGTGCACAGATCCTGGTGCCAGCCTCACCTTCTCGATTCGATCGTCTCGCGTCCCATTTCCTACAAATAAGATGGTGCTCCCGCGTGTAGCTCCAGACTTGATATGCGCCGAACGAGGTTCCGATGCAGCTGAAACAGAATCAGGCTCCAACCGACAGGGTTGCACCTCAGCAACGTCTGCAAAGAGAGAGGCCTGCGAGGCAGAATGTGTCGAGTAGCGACAGCGAGCTGAGGCCTGGTTAAAGGTGGATTTTGATGATCCAGACCGTGGGGCAGAGGACTTACGATGCTGGTGTCCTGCCACTGTCCTTACGTACGGTTTGCTTATGTTAAGGCCGCGAGACAGTCGGATGATGCGTGCCCAGCCCAGAACATGGTTCCTGGTAACCCATTGCTACTGAAACATCAAGGACGATCGGGAAAATGCAGGATGGCACAGCTTCAACTGACGGCTGCTTCTTGCAGGGTCTTGGCCCGAGGGGTCTTGTCGTAGCCATGGCGACCAGAGTGGCCAGCGCTGCAGTGGCACAGCTGCAGAGGGCGGGTCAACAGGGCTGTTGTCAGCCTGTTGCTTCGCAATCGCAGCCGAGGCGTTTGCCCTGTTTCTTGGGGCAACTCTGGTGGGCGTGGCGGAGGCGAAGGCCATGCGCAAACAACTCATCACGACTCCTGGCTACACGTTGCTGAAGTCCAGGCGAAGACAGAGGATGGCAAGTTCTGCATGGCGAAGTCATGCGATGCAGTGTCCCGGCCGGTACTCATCAGGTATCATCAGAATCTGTCGGCCCTAGCTGGCCTTCGAATCAACCAGCTGCCAGTATCGCGACGACATCAGTGCAATATCAACTGCTTTGCATGGAAACGTCCCTGCTGACAGGATGGACACTGCGAAGAGCGCAGCTGTGCGATGCTAGATGCGGCAGCAGACTCGAAGCCTGCCGCAAAAGGCAGCTTCTCTCAATTGACACTGAGCACATCCCAGTAAACAGCAGCATGTTAAGTACCAGTGCAGAAACTGAGGCATGATCATGTCGTGCCAGGGCGTCTTGGCTTTATTGACTGCTCTAAATTCCTCGACCGGTCACTGTGATTGTAGACTTGTCAGCATGTCCAGGCTGAAAATTGAATCACTTTGCTGACGTCCGCCGGTGGCTGAAAGAGGAGCAGCGCTGGAAAGAATGGCAAAACATGGAGGCCCACAAACTCCTTGGTTGATGAGACGAAGCAAGCGCAGTTCTTTGTCGGCAGGTCCGCTGGGTGCAAGGGCACAACCCAGATCTCATCGTCATCGAAAATGGAAACGAAAAGGACCCGGCTGCACTGCATGCTCACACTGAGTGCAGCGCCACAGTCCCAGCGCGATCCTTGTTCCTACATTTGCAAACACTGCAACAAGGAAAGCAGCCTCAGCATCTCCCACAGCTTTCAGCATTTTAAAGCCCAACTGCCTCGCGACCCACAGACATCCTTATTCTCAACTCGTGTCAGTTTACGGCATAAACGAGTTGGACATTTTGAAGCCACCCAAACAGGAGAGGATCGATCTTACACAGTACTCCTACAGACTTGGCCTCGGAACGGGGACGGTGCCCTTGACATTCTGATTGCTGCCTGCTTCGTCTGCTACGCACAACCAAGGCCAGATTCCTGACATGCTCAGGCAGAAAGGCTTCCGCATGCAGGGTGAATTCTAGGTCATCGTAGCTTTAACTTGTGATTTGATGTGCTGCCCAGTCAGCCTTGAACCCACGTGAAGAAACATTTTCTCGCATGCAGTGGCGTGCGACGTAGTTCTTGTTGGCCAAGCTTCGGCTTTCGACTCTTCCGGTTCTGGAAACTTCAAGTGATTCGCTTTTCACTCACTGCCGGTGATGCCGTCTGCCTGGACTCAACTAGGTGGACAGCTGAGTGCCGTGATTGTAGAAGTGGGGATTCTTGTCGTCCCAGCGCTTTGAAAGTTTTGGCAGCCTGGAGCGGCCACGTACCGATACATTGAAGTGTTTTGCATGTTGACGCATATCGTAAGCTCTGCTTTGCTGTCTGTGTGGCCTTCAGACTTTCGATGAATGAATTCAGTCCAGCCTGCCTTGCCGTCACCTACCATTCGGCAGACGTGAGAAAACACTTCCGGCCGAGCAGAAGGTGTCTAATCAAAGAAGGAGGCCTTGTGAGGCTTAGGCTTTCTGCGACGAGGCAGGCAGATGCAGATGCCGGCGGCGGGTCCGAGCCTTTCACCTCTTCTCAGCACTTGGCTTGTCGCCATTTTTCGTTGGAAGGCCGGCTCCAAGAAAAAAGCTTCGGCCTCGGTCTGGCTCTGCTGTGCTATGCAGATCTCACGGCATGCAACAGGTCCGGTGGGAAGGAGGAGAATGGCGACAAGGAAGGTGACAAGGAGAACGACGATAGCGATGATAAGGAGGAGGACAAGCCAGATGATAAGGAGGAGGACGACGAAGACGGTCCCGACCCCGGTTGCAAAGCTAAGGCTAAATATGGAAGCTTGACGAAACATGTCTGCACCATGAGGTGACGATGAGGACGGGGAGAAGACCCGGACGCAGTATCTCGGCCTTGCACGGGTTCCGGTGGTTGCGGTTGTCGTGGTTGTTGGTGTTGGTGTTGTTGTGGTTGTGGTTGTGGTTGTTGTACCGGTACTAAAATTTTGATTCCAAATTATTGAACGTTACACTTCTTTTATTTTTTGTACCCTCAGCTATACTTATCCAGCGGTTGCTATGCTTCGGCCTTCGACGTCAATCGGGCGACCAGGTTCTTCCAGAGAAACTTTTGGACAAAGCAGGGTCTCGTGTCCTGGTTCGTCCCGGGGGCGACACACATGCCGGGTGGGAAGTGTGCATGAATTTCAAGTAGTAGGGAGTCTTTATTGCTGGCAAAAAACCATGCACGATTCTGCCCCATGGATGGGGGGCTCTCACCTCTCGTCACGCTGCAAAGGTTCGTGGATTTGTTGATGAAGCCCGATGCTCAGACATTCCCTGGAAGTTCGGGAAGAGGTCCAGAATCATAGCTGTGTTCAGTATGTCTCTTGGCGGCGGCGTGTGCGAAGCTGAGGGCAAAAGAGATCTCAGCCGGCACCACTTATGAGGAGACGTGCAGCTTGCGCCCGCCGCTTTGGTGCAGTGAGTTCGCTCGACCGTGCTGGTCGCAGGATGCCGAAGGTCTTCTGAGTAAGAGGGCAGCCTGGAAGGCGGGCATTGCGCTGCCATGCGATGTCGAATAGTGGGTGAGTTGCATCCCTGTAGGCTGTGGATGAGCAGACTCGGAGGGAATGCTTTGAGATCTTCGTGGACCACCTTGCCGCGCATACAGGCCGGGGTGGACCAAAGCATTGTGAATCAGCTACGGGCTCCGTCTGTGCTTCATCAAGCAGGTAAGAAGAAAAAGAAGAAGGACAAGGCCGGACGATAAACGACTGCAAGACCACCACCGACATAGCAAGGGTCAGTGTCACCCATTCCAATCAAGTAGAATGTATCTTCTTCAGGCGAAAAAGGGCAAAAAGCAGGGCCCTCTGCAATGGCCAGTCGCTCTGTGGTTCTATGGCGTCGCCGGAATAAGGCGAAAACACAAAGGGACCGAGGAAGATGTAGCGGAAGAGGATGATGAAGAGGATGCACCACGTCAGGAGCTTAGTCAATACTGCGTTCACCATCCGATGTTGTGCAACTGAAGCTGAAGCGAAATCGTGCTCGCATGCAGTACTCGTAGCCATGGCGGTGAACATTCGATGCCCAGCTGTGGTTCGTTCTCTTGTTGAAACTTCTTGACACGCCTGCACCTGGAAGCAGGCAATGCTAAGATATAATTCTTACGATGCGATTGGTCTCTGCCAGTACCTCCTATTGTCAGATGTCGTGCCTTTGCACAGGGACGGCAGTATGCGAAGTTTGCGACACTGTACTTACAGAGGAGGCTGCTGTTGACGTCAGCGTCTTTGCCGAGGCAAAAAAAAGAAGTCCAAAAAGGGCGCGCCCACCCACTCTCAGCCAAGATTGGTTGGTGCTCAGGGGGACGGGTAAGCTGGCAGGGGAGAGGAGAAAGAAAGCGCGGAGCAAATCATCCTGAGCTGCAGCTTGGTCGCAACACTTTGCTTCGGATTGGTATTAAAATGAATTGCTGGCTGCAGTCATCACCTTCCGCTTTCGTTCACGCTTCTTGGGCTCTGGCTTCTTCATTGCTTCCGTCTCGCAATTCGTAGGCACCTACGACCGACATCAGTCTCCCATTCTGCACCTTTTGTTGTCTGTTCGCATGTGATTGCCTGCATGCTTTGTTAGGCAGACATGCATTTCACCTAATCACTTGGCAGGAGCAGTGCGATGCTGCCTCTGTCGGGTACTGATGCCGTGCTTGTGCAATATGCTGCCAGCACATTCAATACATGCAGCGCAGATGTAGACCGTATGTTGTGCTGGCAGCATGCCACTTAGCAGCGATTCGTCTGTCAGAGCTCTCTGACGGTGTCCTTGGAAGGAATGTTAGAATAACTCGCCCGGCCTGTCATGCACGGCAGAGAAGGGCCATTCCGCGTCAATGCCCTGCTGCACAGGAAACACCACTTGATGTGGCAGAAACGTCGAGTTAAGCAGTCATGATGCGGAGATGCGGAGGCTTGCAGCCTCTTCTGTCTTGGACAGCATGCAATTGCAAGACTGATCCAAGCAGAACTCGAGACCGCTAGGCTGGGGAGATAAAGCGGGAATCCAGGACAGATTCAGCCTGAAATTCCACGGCTTTCGACCGCTCATCACACTGCATTTTGCAAATTCCTAGTGTCTTGCAACTGGCCTTGGGGATGTTTGGGGCTGCCGTCGCCACTTGGCTGTGGTTTGCAGTGGAGTCTCATGTTGCACTTAAGTGGCGAACACCGCCGCGGTGGTGCAGCGGATGTACACGGCGGAGAGCTCAGCCCAGTGTGCTGGCAGATTCCAACAGTTCACGTGTCCAAATGAGGCTGAGCTGTTGCTGGCAGATGCTGCTAGCTTCCAGCACAATCTCGCGAAGCGGAATGCAGACGAAGTGCCACAGGCACTTGAGTGCTGGCATGCGCATGTTGTTGTCCTTCCCAGTGGTTCTTGTGAGGCATGGGACGCTTTTACCCGGTACATTACTGAAGTCATGGGAAAGAAGCAGACCCTGAATGTTTCGAACTCCAGCTGCAGAACTAATGAATGGCCTTGCGGGGGCGGAAGCTGGTGACGCTTGTGCAGCGACTGCTCAGGAATTTTTGCAGGATTGGCTGGAAGGAGATTGCCCCAGATGATCCGTGCATTCCGATGTTCAGCATGTACAGAATCCTGACATCGAGGTGGAAGAGGGTCTTCACCAGCCTCGCATGAGGTCGCCTGCCACCATATTCGATCTGGTTGATCGAACGGTTTGCCAGGCCACACTTCAACATTTCCGATGCACGTTCCCCAGATACGCCGAAAGCATGGGATATCACACAGGCAATTCTGTACTGTTTCCCTCCAGGCCTTTGCGATAAGCTGCCGAGCGGACGCACGTTCCCAGCTGCAGGGGCCCGCTCACAGTGTGGGCCTTCGAGACAGCATCGCAAGCTTGCTGGCCTGGTTCATGGTGGTTGTGCGTCAACCCGAGGTTTGACGCATGTTGAAGAGTCGCTCCCCCGGATATGAAGACATATGAAGACATGCTGCGGCATTCTCTGCCTTTTCTTGAGCCCGAGGTTCAACTTCAGTGCATCGCTCGGGGCGCTGGAGTTGAGCTTGTGCCTTCGTGGGCTCAGGGACAGTCACTTTGCACATTTCATGCTCAGGCAAATGCGCCTTGAAATTCTCAAACGGTCTCACCAAAGACCGGCTGTTCATGTGTGTCGGACTCGGACTGAAGTGCACAGGGAGAGAGCCCGAGCAATGCTTCTGCTTCGCTCAGCTGTTGCGCATTTGTGTGACTTGCGGTAATGGTTGCAGCAAGGGGAATCGAGATTGAGTCAATCTCATACTTCTCTATCAGTCTGTACTTGCTGGGGTGAAGACCCTGAGTGCGGTGTGCCTGCCATGACGGGGCGACTCAGCATGTGGCTTGTGGTGCTGGCGCTCGCCTCAATCTGCGGAAAGGGCGCGATGCGTGAACACATCGCTAGACGGTACTATTCAAGGTGAAGCAGTTCATGGGCACGTTCGTGGCTTCCATGTCAGTGGCCGAGAGAGCGAGCGGGGCCTTGTGGGGTCTCTTTGCTGGTGATGCTCTGGCAATGCCTGTGCCCCACGGCGGGAGAAAAGGTGTGTTGTTTCGCTTTGATCGGCTGTTGTCAGACTTGTCGCGTGTACTCACCGAGGCACTGGTACTACGGAGGGGCAGATCAAATTCGAGAAGATTTCGGTGGCCAGCTTCTGTCTGGTTTTGAGCGTTCAGTTCACCCGTTCCCGGATTCCATCATGCAGCTGAGCAGCACCGGAGGAGGTGGCAGAGGAAGCAACGAAGGAGATGTAGTCGGAGGAACAATCCTGCATGACAAGAAGGAATACTGGCGCCGTGCTGGCCAGTATCACTATCATCATACCTTGGACGCTGGTGAAAACACTCTGGAAGCATCGCTCGTGCGGGTTGTGTTGCAGAGCCTGAGGAGCACCGGTAGGTTTTCGGCGAGCGACTTTCGAAAGCGATACATTGAGTTCATGACGACACCTGGCACGCACAATGACACCTATGCTTCCACGTGCCACCGCATGTTCTTCCAGAAACGGCGAGCAGGTGTTGATCCCAAGGACTGTCCAGACAACGATGGTCACAATGTCGATACGATGGATGGTCTGGTCATTCCCACCGTAGTCGCTTTGATCTCACTGGCCCAGGGCGAGGATGTCGCAACTGCTGCTGCGCTCGCGGTGGAAGCATTAGCAGTGACACGATCATCTGAGGCGTTTCCNNCCCCCCCCCCCCCCCCCCCCCGTTCCCCAATGCTTTCACTAACAGCAGCTAGCTTGCAGCTGGCTTCGCCTCTCTCGACAGGTGCTCCCCGAATATATCAGGACTACGACCCTCATGCTGGATAAGGTGGCAATTGTATTGCGCAGTGTTGCCAGCTTGGAGCCTCCCACTGTGCTTGCAAGGTCATGCGCGGGACGTCCTTGGACGATGCCTCCATGCAGACTTCGCTGGAGGCGTTTTGTGAGCCTTTCCATGGACTGTATTTGGAGCCCCTTCAGGAGCCTTAAAACCGAGGTCTACGAGAGCGCTGTCTTTGACAGGAAGCGCCGAGGGAAGGATCCGGCTTCTCGGGAGCATCGTAGGCACTTGTTGGTGATGTTGTGGTGAATTGGAATGGTTGTTGGAGAGCGGAGGCGCTTTAACCGAGATTGGGTATCCAAGGGCTCTTTTCGGCTCTTAGCTGACATGCCCATGTAGCACCAGGAGTTCGAGCCAATGAGCGTGCACATTGTTCTAAGTTATGTGGATGGACGTGCTTTAGTCGATGGATGTGCCCCAGGGGTACAATCATCTGGACTTACCAGAGTCCTTTAAATTCGTCGATTACAGATGCTACCGATAGACCCTAACTGGCTGTGCAAAAGTCGCGTGTCGTCTCCATTTCCGACTTGAGTTCTCCTACGACCGCTCAGCTTCAGGAGGACCTCTACCTGACACCCGATGCTCGTGCTAGCGACGCACATCGTTCCCGAGCTTAGCAGTGCGTCCTCTCGCATGTCCTGACGTGTCGTAGGTTCGTTGGTCGGGAGACCCCCAAAATCTGTGCACATTCCTGCGAAGAATCCGGCAAGATTCCCGGGCATCCCTGGCCCTAGACTTTGCAGCTCCAGATCGGTGGGAGCTCGCCAACTTCTCTCAATACTTGACCGGCATCGTTCGGTGAGTACCGGCCTGTGGGTCAGAGTGGGGAGGGCTAGCAGTTAGCCGGACTTTTCCATCAGGGACATCGTGCCATGCGTGCAACACCCCCAGGGTGCGTTCGGGCTTCCGGGGGCCACTCTGTTTGCAAATTTGGTCATGCTTTCTCCTGATCATCAGGCTGTTTTTGTACCCAAAGTTCCTTGGTAGGCAGGCTCTCCGCGAAACAGCAAGTTTCACAGGATCCAGGAGCTTTCAATTCAAGGTAGGGTGGATGCATCTTCAGAGCTTTGACGTGAGGTTGTTGCTTGCTACATTGGTGGCTCATTCCCGGCATTGTGCATGCCTCAGGCCTGTGCATCTTAAGATGAGCTCTCTCGTGCGTTGGGACGAGAGCTCATGTGGAGTCAACTCTGCAGCTGTGCCTCGAGCTTTCGGACATCGCACAGCATGTGACAGTGGAAAGCTTCATCATACTGCGAACGAGCCTACTGCACGAGTCCTGCTGAAAACCAGGGGGCATGTATCATCAAAAGAAGTCGTAGTCGAGTTACTGTGGCACTCCGGCCTGCCGGAAGCCATGCTCCTGGCGGGCCCTGCTGCTCAGCTGCTGGATCTGGCCTACGCTTCATCTTCAGGCTCAGAGGCTGGAAGAGGAGAGTGTGACGCCGTGATCGAATCGGGCATTTGAGACCAGGAAGTGCAACGACTTGTGCGGCACAGCTTGCCTGTACCGGAGGAGTCTCAGTTTGACCAGCTGAGCTCCGGTGCTGCTAACAAAGTCGCTTGTAGTGGTGCGCATAAATTGGAGTCGCTGAGGAGTTGTCGAACTACTTGCAGTTCCTGGCTTCTGGTGGTGACTTGGGTGTGGCTTGACGGACCCAGATTCAGTGCATGCGGTCTGCAACTCGTGGAAGCTTCTCCTCGTCATGCTTGGTGGTCATGTTCTTTGCTTGTGGATGCCCGCACGGTATAAGCGTGCGGCCGAGGATGCAGCTGCAGACTTGTTTGGTGAGGACTGTGGATTGCCAACCGTTTTGCATAGAAGCTGCATTACCTGCCCTTCACTGCCCTTCGTTGCAACCCGCAATCTGCATGCTTGGGCTCAAAGTTGGGAGCACTGTGGAAAATTTGTGACCGATGCCGTTCCTATTCACAGCTGGGCTTCAAGATTCAGCGGGCAGCCAGATTCTAGATGATTCATGCATCCATGAGTCTGGAGTCCCATTCTCCACTATCCGAGAAGCTAAGAAGCACAAACGAAGTGCAAGTCGTCTTCTGAGCCTGTTGTTTCGTCATGGTGGTGCTGGAGGACCAGGGGATGGAGTGCGTAGGCGTCCACCGAATCCCAGCGATAGTGCATGCAGGACGGTGAGGATGGCGTCATGCAGTACCTCAAAGAGAAGCAGAAGACTGCGGGGGCAGTGAGGCGGCAGAAGGCCAAAGTATCGTTCCCCGTCCGCAAACCCTTGGTTGTTGTTGCTGTGTGGCTGTCCGAGTGCTTGCATGTCCTGCGAACAAAGGTCGGAGGCAGATGCAGCTATGGAGTATTTGAAGGTCACATGTTTGTGCTGCATAAAAGTTCAGCGAATGTATCTGGACCGGATGCTCTGGAGGGGCAGCTGACAAAGAACGGGCAAACAGCACGTGCTGTCGTCAAAGCGAGCCCGAGAGAGCTGAACTTAGTTGCCAGACCAGCGACAGAAGATGGCGGCTCTGTGCCTTGCAGACTAAGGCCGGATCAAGGGAATTTCTTCGAGGCATCAAGCTGTCAGACATGTCTTCAGCTCCAGCCCAAAGTCAAAGGACAGGATGAGTGAAGCATCTTGACCTTGGTACACCTTTCCTGAAAGAAGTAGCTCTATAGTGCCGTTCCCGCAGGAAGAGTCGACCAGACAATCCAGCAGGACAGCCGCATCATGTGTTGGCACAAGTGTTGTAACGCTGGCCGCCTCGCCTGCGGGAAAGACACCCTGAGGAGATGTGGCCAATGCCTCCAAGAAGGTTGCGAAGTCGACTGGCAAACCATCGCAACTGTCAGAGCGCACTAAGCCAAAGACACCGGAAGAGAAGACTGAAACCGCCATGGACAAGTCTGCTTGCGATGCATTCTCTTCTGGGGGGGACATCCGGATGTCGCTCCAGCTCATGCGCGACAAGACTGGGATACAGCGAAGTGCTTCAGCGAAGCGGTGTCGGGCTGCCAGGAAGGACGTAGGGCCCCTGGTGCGAACAGCCCGCAGTGTGAGGCTTCCGGCCAGAGCGAATGAGATGATTGGTGACACTGCGCCATCGGACGTTACCGCCAAGCCTTCGGAGACAAGGGCTGTAACATCCGCTGTGCGGACTGCCCCTCCCAAGAGTCCAGTGGTCTCCCCAGTCCTGACTGTGAGGCACGTACTTCAAGAGACACATACCAATGTCTTCAAGCCACAAGGCTGTAAACCTTTGTCGTCACCACCCAGTCCTTCACAATGGCTCCGCAGATCGCCGCCTCCGCAAACCCGCAGCGTTGCCAGGTCTCCATCGCCTCCAGCTGCTCCGGCAGAGGTCCCAGAAAAGGAGACCGAGGCGACGGTGACCCCAGCCCCTGCGCCAGCCCCAACCGTACAGGAAACCAAGACAGTGAGCGACTCTGCTTCCGCCGTCGTGACAGAGTCCGGCACGCTTCGGTCACCACCTGTCCCGTGGCAATTTGCAGTTGGGGTCCATGCACAGCCTGCGACGGCCGCTCGCAGTGCGGCTCGTGTGGAAGGCGTTCGAAGCTGCCACGACGGAGACAAATGGCCAAAGCAGCCCAACGGATTTGCAGCCTTTGGAACCACGACCGGACCTGGGCATGGTCATTGCGGGACCTGGATGCCGTGGACGCCGGCACGTAGCATCCTGCTGCCGCCAGGAAGTGTGCACCTCCGGCCTCAGCAGCCTCACATCAAAGTTGCTCGTGTTTGTGCCACCCCTCCGGCTCCCATGACTCCTATGACTCCCATAATGCAAAGTCGGGACAGTCGAGATGAGGCTGTGCCGCAGAAGGCCGTGGCCGGTCGTCCCAACGTTGCGATTCCTTGGTTTCCGAAGACGGACCCACCGACAGTTCCACAGACCCCGCAGTTCCCATGCCCACAGCTTCAGCAAACGTCGATGTCCAGAGGCATGTTTGCAGGGAGCCCCACCAGAAGGAGGCAGATTAATGTGTAAGGTCAGCACGGCCGGTGTTTCTGAGTTGTACAGGACTCCAATGAAGGGCAAATGCCTCTTCAATGTACATTCGCGGTCGGGCGGAGATGTATGGATTTGTTCAGGTTTCGGCGGTCTGTTGTCAGCAGCCAATACCAGACAAGTATAACTCAACGACTCGGAACTCGGTAATTAGACATGGTTTGAACATCTCCAGCTGCTGGATGCCTGTCTGAGAGCAGGCGCTGAATTTGTAGTGTTTGTAGTCGGCCAATGCAACTGAGCATCTCGGAGGCGCTGTGAACGCATGAGAGAAAACAACCGCCTTCAGCACTCGGAGTGCAAGCGGTTTGCAGGAGGCGGAAGTGTCGGAGCTGCAACGGTACCTCGGTTTATAGCTTGCACCCTGCAATGCTCCGCCGTGATTCTACTAAGGCCTTATCTGGGCAGCGACCACGCTCTTCTCGTGTCCTCGCCGTGTGTGGCGGCTTTCCTCGTGGCGCTCTTCTCAGAGGTCGCGGAGAAGGCCCAGCTGGAGCTCTGTGGCCTCGACCTGAGGTATCGGCTCGGCTCGCACATTGTTGTTTGTGCTTGCAGCCCAGGGTGGGACCTGTACCACGGTGGCCTGGCTTTGTGATTTTCAAGTCAAGTTGTGTTGTTTGACAGCTGTGCATCTGGTTGGATGAACTGCAGGCCACCTCGTGTTCTTCCGGCACTGCAAGTCTCCTTCGATTTTCGAGCTCGGAATCCTATTCCATGCAAAAGAGCACCCGGTGGAGTTCACCAGCCGCATGGGCCCAATGCTGGAGGTATGCTCGCCCGAGGCCGGTGGGAAGCGCGACCCTCGCAGAGGGACGAAGCTGTCGATAGCCTCGCCGGGCTTCCGCGAGCGCAACTTCCTGTGGCTACTGTCTTTGAACTCAACCTTCGGCATTCGATTCCCACAAGACAAGGCCAGCAAAACCACGGCAAATACTGAGTGTGACCATCGCGAGTCAGCGCCTGTGACCTCTTTGGCTTGGAAGCTTATCGCACCGGGTGCTGCGGGCTCGCGGTTCTTTACGATAGATGAATCCAACTTCGGGCTGCAGCTCGGTTCTCTGTGCTACCTGCCAGAGGGCCATGACCCCGCGCTTCCCATCCAGGGCAAGATAGGAGAAGCCTTCAAATGTACTCCGTGTCCCGATGTCCACCGCCGTCTGCCTGCATAGAGTAAGAGAAATGAGAAATATATTCGATGTTTGGTCTTCGCACCAGGAGTAAGATTCCGCTTCCCATGGCCTGGGCAGGTCTGTACATAAGCTCTTGTGATATGTAAGTGCTCGAAATGATGGCGGCATAAACAAGCTTCTGGACGGACTGTTAGAGCAAAGACCGTGCAGAGGTTCATTAAGACGATAACGGCTCCTGAATCCTAGGTTCCAACCCCCAAACCGCGCTAGCCGCAGTAATTGCATTGAAAAAAAAAAGAATCAGTCTACATCTCGCACATGGAGGCGTAAGCATACGAAATGGCACACGGAGAGATCATTGGGAAGGCACAAAGGCATTTTCTGAGGATTCAGCAGGGTGTCCGAGGCTCAGAAAGGCTTGCATGACGTGTACATAGGTTAGAGTTCGGTGAAGGTGTAAAGTGACATGATGAGGCTTACAGAGTGTAAAGATGCCAGCAGCTTCTCAACGGTTTCTGTGGGCTTACAGTACCCTTGCGCCTGCGTGATGCATCTCCCAGGCGACATCGTTTGCATTCCCTGCCACGGCTTTCCCGCTGACTGGCATCTGGTTCGTGAACTGGGCAAGCAGCCGCTTGCGAATGAGATGGAGGCTGTAAGAAAGCTGCGTGACGTGGATGCCGACCTGCTTCAACTTCTCAGCAGCTCCGCTGATGTTTCCCTGCCGCGCCGCAAGCGCTTAGAGAGACTGGGGTCACCGGGTCGGCGTCGGCGACTCCTTGAATGTGCAGAGCAAGAGACTCTTGCCTTCACTGTGACCATAGTCCAAAGGCAGTCCAACGGAAATGCCAAGAGGGTGACTGGCAACAAAAAGGTACAATCGGCGTCGGGAAGTGCAAGAAAGGGAGCTGAAGAGGCGCCAGGATGCGGCAGTGGCCCAGCTGGTGGCCAGCGGCTTCCATGTCACCGATGTGCAGGTGGGCGAAGTTTGTCCTTACAAAAAGACCGAACTGCAGCCATGGTCTCCGCCAGGAAGTGCTACCACACTGCGACGGTAGTACCGTAAGATGTGAGGCAGTGTTGAGGGTGGCATTCGCAGCCTGGCCGCGCTTCTGTCGAATATCACGTCACTTGCTGGTATTCCTGCCGTGTGTTGTTTTTCTAGGTTCCAGCAGTGTTTCACAGTTTGCTGGCAGTCTTTGCCTGTGGGCCGTTCTTACGCGGCAGTCAGGCAAAATACCGTTCTTCTGCAGAGCAAGCCGCAGCCGATGGCCTGGGCGACGTGAATGCAGCCGAGGCAGCCCGACTTCCATGGCAAATGTGGATGATGTGACTCATCACATCTGAATGTCCTCGATACATGTATCCAGGCACATCGAGTGCTCTTCGGAATCTCGCCCTGGCACTGCGCTTATCAGAAGCGGCATGTGGATTTGAAGGGTCATGGGGTGCCATGCTTGGCAGCGGCTTTTCAGGCTTGGTGGCTGTCCAGTCCTGGGTTTGCGAGCTTTGTCCTCTTCGGAGCCCTTGCTGGTGGCTGTTGGCCGCATAGCAGCCGAGGAGGAGGTGCGCTGCCATGCCCTGCCCCTGCCCCGCCCTGCTTGCACCCTTGGCTGGGCGCAGCAGGCACGCTTTCGCCGAGACAGCAATGAGCGCTTCGATCTGTCGATGGCGAAGAAGCAGGCCCCTGCTCGGAACCCTGCTCGAGTTCCATGTTCCTTGGGGAGTGATCACGGACGCTCGGCCGCTGCCGAGAATATGTCTCTCACGAAACTTTCCCACCAGGAATCCCAGGCATCACATAGCAAGAGAAGAAGCTCATCAAACTGAACTGGGAGGTGGGGTGTGATCTCCGTCCGTTGTGGAAGGCTTCGAGCACTATGCAAGAGCAAAGAACACAAGGCTTCACGGCCTCGGCACTGATGCTTGGTCGAAGAGTCGCCTCCACCATCTATAGCCAACGGAAACATGCACGCCTGCAACAGACTCGTTCATGCCTGTTGGCTCCGTCATGGGTTGTAGCCGTGAATGTTGGCAACAGAACACAATGAACGAGTTCAAAATGTAATTAGGAACCCGCTTGCGAGCCATTTTGTGACATTGGGGGAACCAGGAGGCTAGGTGCGGACAAAGGCTACAAGTGAGAGGTTACTAACGAAGATAATGAAACTCGCTGAAGGGAAGACTTGACAGAACTTCTGGTCAAAAGAGCAACAAGAAGAGCAGTCACGCTTTCGATTTTCGTTGTTATGTTTGGTAATGATTCTATCCAACAGCCAGCGACTCCTGAACTGAGTGGAAGAATGACCGGCGTTGCAGGTCTGTTCCAAAGCAGAGCAGCCGCAGCCGGCGTTTTCCTGGGGCTGTTGCGCTTTGGTTACTGTGATTGAAGCCTCTCTCTTGAGCTGTGTGTCTGCAGACAATATTTGTTTGCCTTCCAGCCAAGAACCATGTGAGGCATTGGGCCACGGCGGTCACTGAGCTACCTCTGTGAATGTCTGCTGCAGTCCGGAGAAAGGAAAAACGCGCGAATGCAGAAAGTGCACAGTGGCAGGCCAAGGCGTAGGACGAATCTGGCTCCGGCGATGTTGCACTGCCTTCTGCGCCGAGGCTTCACTTTGCCTACAAGTACGCTGGCGACGACGCTTGGGATGCCCTCCTGGCTTCTGCGAATGCCGGGGGCGAGAACGTGCACCGCAACGAGGAACGGGGTACGGGTATGGATCGAGTTTGATGGATGGCAGCATCGAGACGACTTGCAGGTGCTGGGGTTGCTGCTGGGTGCTGCACAGGGGCGGCCCGGCCTGAAGACCCAGGAGGAGACTGCAGAGCATGCTGTAGCTGCAGATTCAACTTTCCGATCCTTCGCTGCAGGAGGCTTTGAAGCATTATGCTGAGCTGGAGGAGGCCCTTGCAATGCAGCCTCGGTGGCTACTGTAGGGCCTAGGGAAGCGTAGGCCGCCGGCGTCAGGAGATTCAGGCAGTTGTCGAGCAGGCGCTGCTGGACAGGCCTAGTCATAATCATGGGAAGCTGCATCCCAAAGCTTGAGTTTTCAGGCCTCAGCGACAATGAGATCGTCAGACCTTTGATGCAGGGTGGGCGATGTTTGCCGTGGTCGACACTGGCCGACGAAGAAGTTCGAGGAGTGCTCCTAGCTGTCAAGTGTTGAAGAGCTGAAGAGCGATGGACTCTCGTGGACGACGCAAGCTATGGGAATCGCGCCAGCATTGAACGGTTGCTGTGGTCACAGCTAGCGACTGATCCGGCGGGCACACAAGAAAAGGGGGTCGGCTGGGGCTGGAGGCGTGTTGACACGGGCAGAGAGTCACCACCGGAGCAATTAGGCCTGCGGGCGATCATACAGCAGCTTACAGAAGCTCGACCCTCGGAGCACGGCATCTAGCTGTACAGACTCCATCGACTTGCCTCTGGAGGCAATCGCATCGGGTCGAGAGGCTCTTTTTTCGACTGCAGACTTGGCACCTTCTCCTGTCCACATCTCATGTGCATCAGGTCGGCCTTGAGATGGGCGTCGGCACGCTTCGTTCCTGCCAGCGTGTCGTCAGCTTCAGCTTCTCCGCGGCTCGGGGCCCGGGCCAGGGCAGACCGGCCGCGGCCGCGTGCGTGAGCACACTGTCTCGTTGTTTACGTTTCCAGGATCTCTATGCGAGCGAGGGCTTGCAGGTGCCGCCTGATGCCGCGGAGCCGAGTCCTCAGAAATCCAAGGAGTCGCGCCAATTCGGGCCGCGCAGATCCGAAAATTCGAGGCAAAGTCGGCCCACGAAGACGTTCACTCCGCCCTCGAAAGACGCGCTGTCCGGAACCCTGACTCTGGAGTCGAGGTGGTACTCGAACGGTAGACGCTGCAGGTCTTTGACCGTCGATTCCAACCAGTTCCGTGGCACAGTCAAAGCCCGGGCCCTTGAGAGTCCACAGCATGGGCTGGTGCGGCCTGGCCTGGCGAAGGCAACTGATCTCGGGGGCTTTCACGATACGGGGACGCCGGCTCGGACCCCTTTTTGTCCCAGCACGCCTTCCATGGTTGCGTTCTGGGTACAGGCCTTCACCCTGGGCAGCTCCAGCGGTTCGGGCATGTCTAAGGAGGAGCTGGCACAGAGGGAGGCCGACTCCGTGCGATGCAACCGGCAAGCGCATTTCCACTGCGGTTGAGGCCAGGGATCGGCATCTTGCTGACATCAGTGAAGAAGCTGAAGAAGCCGTGCAGCAGCGGTGATCTTGGTCAAGGGGGGAGGGCTGTTGTTTAGCAGTTTTATGTCTTCTTGATGTTTCTCGCGCGAAAACTGGCTCAGCTAGCAGAGCCGGAGACAGGACGATCATGAGATTGTTGGGGCCCGCATAGGAACCCAATCTGGCCCGAAGTCCAAAGGCACATTCAGCAGCACCTTGTTCAGCTGTATGCGTCGATTCTGGAAGTCGCAGCTTGCCTGTGGATGCCAATGTCTTCAGCTGACTGCGGGAAGCGGGCACCGAAATCGACAAAGCATGCGAAAACACCGCTCTTCCCGCCATGTTCGCAGCTAGCATACTCCAGGCGAGATCACCGTCCAAGCGTGTCTCTTGAAGCAAGACGCAGCATGGCAGAACATTGTAGCTTGTTTTGCGAGGTTTCTGGACAAGCTGGGGGACCAAAGACGAGCTCCAGAATGGACCTTCAATCGAAGTGCCAGTGTGTCTCGAATGCATCTGCTGCACCCCTTGCTTCCTTGTTCATCACTTGCGTTTCTCACGACATGTCATGGCCTGAGGGAGGGCGGACGCTCGCTGTCTTTGAAGCTCTCGTGGCTGAGTGAGGATTGGGAGGGATCCGTAGGTACAGCGCCGCCATGGCGAGCTACATGATGCCGGGCTACAACATGCAACAGCAGGGCTACCCGCAAATGCAGATGACGGCTGAGCAACAGCAACAGTACCAACAACAGTACCAGCAACAGTACCAGCAACAACAACAGCAGTACCAGCAGTACCAGCAGCAGTACCAACAGCCTCAGCAGCAACAGCAGCAGTACCAGCAGCAAGGGCAGCAGCAAGGCCAGCAGCAGCAGGCTACCTCAGGCGGCTTGACTGTTACAGGCTGTGCGGATGCGACAGTTGGCAACATCGTTCGGGGCACTTTCGCCTACCAGACGGAGAACCATGGACGGCCTGTTTACAAGAAGAATGAGCCGGTGGCGAACAACCCCACGCTAGACGTCCTGATCTACTTTTGGGATGAGCGAGATGGTGCAAACTTCTGCGGCTGGTGGTTTGGACCCAAGGTGGGGGGTGATCAAGTCTGGGCGTACAACAGTGAGCGCAGCTCTCAGCCGCCCTCAACCGGTTGGCGTGTACCATATGATGGCCAAGTGGACCCATCTTTTGTCATCAGCTCTGGGGGCTACAGCCAGGCCTACCAGGCTTATGGACAACAGGGATACGGTCAGTACCAGCAGCAGTACCAGCAACAGTATCAGCAGCAAATGCAACAGCAACAGTACCTCCAGCAGAAGCAGCGGGATGACGAGATGGCCCGGCGAAGGCAGGAAGAGCAACGCAGGGCGGAGCAACAAGGGGTTATGAATTGTCAGGCGATCCTGCAGAAGCTGGCTGCTGCAACGCCTGAGAATTATGAACAGCTCAAGGATGAGGTGGAGAAGATGATCATGCAAGAGCTGCCGAAGTGTGGGAGCCAGGCCGAGGTTGTCAAGGCCGAGGTGATGCAGCAGTTCCAAGGCGCGCAGATGCGCGTGGAGCAGATCAAGCAGCACCGCATTGAAGAGGAACGGCAAAACCAGGAGCGCATGGAAGAAGCCAAGCGGATCCTCACAGAACTAGGAGGCCTCGTTGAGAAGGCGGAGCAAGACGCGGCAAGCCTCAAGACCACAGCTGCCCCTGTGCTAGGATCCAAGTCCATGAGCGAAGATGAAGCCCGAGAGGCCGGAAAGTCTGTGAGCGAGGTATCCGTTTCCGCAAAGGCCTCGTGCAAGATGTGCTCCAGCTTTATCGTTGAGCGGAGGATGAGCATCGATGTGGTGAAGCCACCCTACCTCGCCGAGCTTCGGGAAGAACAGATCAAGCTTCAAACCCGAATACAGGAATGCTACAGAATAGTTGTAGCTTCGACAACGTCAGCCAGGGATATGATTGACAAGGCTGTGAGGAAGACCCACGCCATGAAGGTCTACGCAAAGCGCACTTCAGCTTTTGACAAGTACAACTCGGCAAAGGATGGTTATTTCACGGTGGATGACATGATCGCCTATGCCAAGGGCGAATTCCGTTTCCCGCTGTGCAAAGAAGCGGCATCAACCATCTTGAAGAAGCACGGAGAGGGCATTAGGGGTGTCCCGCGTGCTCGGTTCCAGCGTGTCAAGGTCGCAGTGGGCATTGCTCGCGAGGAGGAGGCCGTCTTAGCACGGAAACGGGAAGCAGAGCAGAAGAGGCTTGCTTTGGAGGCCAAGAAGAAAGTCATCGAGGCCGACATCCAAAAGGTCGTTGACACCCTCACTGATGCAGAGCCCGCAGTGGCAAAGGCCGAAGAGGCAGGCCAAGCCGAGCACTTGTCGAGGGAATACCTTTGCGAGGCGCCAGGCAAGCAAGAGGTCACCGCCGCCAGCGAAGCTGCCACTAATGCTTTGAACGATGCTCAGGCTGAGTTGTCTGATGTTCGCACCCGCTTAACTGACCTTGCAAACTCTGCAGACGAGGATGTCAAGCAGTGGGTGCAGGTCGAGATTCGTAAAGTCGAGTCGAAGGTGCTGCACATGGATACTCGCTTGATGCAGACCAAGCAAGCAATTGAGCGCGGACAGCGGTACTTGGAAAAGCTGGAGGTCACAGAGCTCCTGAATGCGAGAGCAGAAGTCAGCAAACTCCTGCGTGCCAAGAAGATGGAGCCAGAGGATCTCTTCAAGGCGGTCGACAAGGACGGCGATGGCACGGTCAACCTCTCGGACTTCACTGCCTTTCTTCAAGCTGATGGCTGTCAGCTGGATGCTGAAAAGATGGAACAGACCTTTAGTTACTATGACATGGCCACAGGCACCATTAGCAGAGAGATGCTGGTGCTGGCATCTCGGTGCTACTACTTGGTGGTGTCTGAGACCGTCATGACGGAGCAGGATGCCCTAGAGGAGGGTCATGCGCTGCGGCGCCTGGATCCCAGGGAACTCGTGGAGATCCTGGAGGGCCCCTTAGAAGAGAAGACTCCCGGGATCCCGCGTGCGAAATGCCGGGCAATTCTTGATGCTGCAGAAGGCTGGGCCACCATCACGGGCAGCGGTGGGACTTCCTTCTTGGTCCCAAGCGAGGGTCTGTTGGATGTGCTTAGAGAAACACCTCTCACAAGCGAGCTTGAGGAAAGCACAGCCGTTCGTGATCTCGCGCCCGGCGAGAAGCTAGAGATCCTGGAGTGGTATTCAAGGAATGCAAACGGAGACAAGCGGGTGAAGGCCCGCGCAAAGGGCACCTCCGACATTGGCTGGGTGACCGCGGTCACTGCTGAGGGGACAGAGATTCTGAAAATTTCAATGGCCCCAATGAGCTGACTAGCGAGATTTTGACATCATGGCTGAGGGAATTTTCCTTGGCCGTAGAGCGTCTGTATATAAACTGCCAGAAGCCACTACACTGGCCAGGATGCTTCAAACTCGTCAAGCTCTGCCCAGCCTTATGCAAAACAGGCACTTCTCCTGGGGCCGGGGGCTTGCTTCACAGCTGTGGAGAAGTTGACTTGCGCTCATGTGATGCCCTCTGCCGAGGATTCAGGCTTGGTGAAGAGATCAGCTGCAGCGAGCATTCAGCCTGGTCAGTACAAAGCAGATCGGGACTTTGTGAATGACATCACCAGCGAAGTGCGGAAGGACGTGGATGCAAGGTTCCGAAAAGCCCCACAGTCGCTTGACTTAGACCTGCGCTGATTTTGCCTTGCGAGCTTCAGCGGTCTGGCAGAGACTTACGATGCTAAGCAGCACGACCACCACCCAGCAGCCGAGCAGAGTAGGCTGCTGACGAGGGAAGTTGAATTCACGACAGTGGGGAAGATGAGGAGGAGATGGAGGGATGTGTAACATGCATTGACATGAGAAGAGAGGCTTCACACAGCTGTGCTTGTGGTGCTAGAACAGCTCATTCAGTTCACGATTTGCGAGGGCAGACGTCAGTGTGTCAGAATGCCCAAGTGACATGCCCATGCCTGCTTCTCTTGTCCGTAGCTCCCATCGCTGGTCTTACCTTTGTTCCTGAGTCTTGTGTGGCCACCATCGCCAATGAGAGCTGAGGTGCACCTTCGGAGAGAACCCGAGGTACGATGAGGCGGGTGTGTTGAAGGGTGTGCGAAACCCTGGCAACATGAAGCTGTGGTTCAACCCAGTTGGACCTGGGCAGTACCAACAGTTGGATGGCATTGAAAGTGCAGCCCGAGTCCACTGGATGTCATCGCCCGCCTGGTCGCAACGTCGTGGTAAACCTGCCGAGGATGTCCGTGCTGCGAAGGCTAGTGGGCATGGGGCACCTGGCCCTGGCTACTATGCACCGCAGACCAAGGTGGAACCACGCGGAAAGCGAACGGTTTGCAAAAATGCAGGCCAGTTCAGCTTGATCTTCCAGCGTATTGGTGCCAGTGCAGGACCAAATTCATATGTACCCAGAAGGAGATCCGAATCTGTGGAACTGCTTGGCTCAGATTATGGCAACAGTGCACCTCCCAGCAGAGGCTGAGGGCGTGTGCTTCTGCGCTCGTGAACAGAAGCTGAAAGCACAGAGACACGAGACAGTCTCACCCACCGGGCGCCCCTGTATGGGTTAGCCTTCGAAGCTTTCAAGACCGTCTTCGCACAAAAAGCTTCGACCGGTCCTATCGCGGCTTCAGACTGTCAGAGATGCATCTTTGCGATTCTCTGTGCCGTGCGAAGTGAATCAGGAGAGAGCTCTGGCAAAACCATCTCAGGCTCTTCTGCCATGTTTGGTAATGGTGTGCAGAAGATCGCGAAGTGCAGCTGTCAACATTGAAGGCGTTGCATGGAGGAAGAGAAGAAGGCGGAACTGGGTGATCCTTTGGACTGCGGGGAAGTGTTGCAGTCTGTTCGGGCTGCAGGACATGGACTGGAGAAGCGCGATAGAGCGCGACTACCGGGAGATGTTGAAGGCTCACAGCCGGCGGCCGCCGCTTCAGGCAGCCACTTCAGCGCGTCTTTCCGCACATTGCAGGATCAGATGCAAGAACACCGGCTGCGACGGGAAGAAGCAAAGCGTGCGTCAGTTGAACAGGCGGGTGAGTAGGCTGGTTCTTCAGGGAGCTTCGGCACTCTCAGCACCCGAAGTCCGTGTAGGCTTCGATGCACGGGTTTCCCGACTTCTCGAAGCCCTCCAACATCTCCGTCAACCGCTCAGAGGATACTGTGCCAGGGCTAGGCGGGCACAAGAACCTTACTCTCCATTGTTTGCATAAGGTAAAGGACTACATCGTCGAGCGGCGCTTGCATCTGAAGGAGGACCTCGACCAGCAGGCGGGCTGCGTGGAACCTGAGACTTGCCCTTGTTGTGGTGGCCCGTTCTGTTCTTCTTGGCACCAATGCAGGTGGAGCTCAAGAAGCGCCAGAAGGAACACAGAAAGGCTATCGAACATGCGGGTGTCCAAGCTTGGCTTCATATGCATACGTGGCAAACCCTAGAAGTGGTTGGCAAGGAAATGGACCGTATCAACAATCTCGCAGCACATACCGAGCTCGTGCAGCTTTCCACTCGGTTGAAAGCTTTGTTGACTTCGTCCGGACGGCTTTTGAACAAATTGACCACCCAGGCAGCGAGTCAAGGACCGTGAGCGAGGAAGACACGTTCTTCAGGCCAGCTTCGGCTTGGAAAGGCTCTCGCCAAGATGTCATTCACGTGCACACACCCACACACGCACACACACACACACACACACACATACACACACACACACACACACATATATATATATATATATACATATATATACACTCTCTCCTATGTGTATATATACAAACACATATGTGTATGTGTATAATTATATGTGTGTGTGTGTCTACAGGTATATATACGTATATGTATACATATATATATATATGTGTATGTGTATATGTATATGTGTACATGTATTTACCCGTATATGTATGTCTGTGTATGTCTAGATATCTATATGCAGGAGGCAAAAAACACTTATATATCTTTATACCTGTACATATATATATATATTCACACACACACACACACACACACATATATATATATATATATATCTACATGCATACCGGGAGCTATTCTTGAGGAAATGCATATGGCATTGTCTGAGTTCTCGGTATCTTCGAGTTGCCTCGGCCGACGCACGCGTCCGCTACAAAGGGCGGTCTCTGATAATTGCCAGCTTTCGCGCATGATAAAGGCACTCATATTACATGGCTGAATTTGTGCTTTCCGCGCGATAGAGGCAGTCGCCTGTCTGATAAAGTGCGCGTGATCTGTAGAACAGGTAGATGTGTATGTATGTTTATGTGTGAATATGTTCTTCTATGTTGGTCGCTAACCTGGACACAGTGCTTCCACAAACTAAAGGGACCATTGCCACACAGAGCCCGTCATTGGAAGAAGCCGGGGACCCCACCTTGTGGAACCTTACAGCTATCCTTGTCGATGAACAGATAATACACGGACGCGCACCCCCCCTCCCCCCGCGCACGCTCACACACATCGACATATCCATCGCTGTTTTCTTACGTAATTAGGTAATCGTGAGGTTTGCGCTTAGTATCCTGACGGCGGGCGGCGTGGTCGGAAGTTGATGCGTGTGGCTCGCCGCTTATCGCCTCTCCAGGAGTGTTTGCAAAATTGGGAGGACACGAAGCGCCAACGGCTTAGCTGGATCCTTCAAGCGTTTCCCAGCGCTTGTTCTGCAAAGTGATATTCGCAGACGTGCTCCATTTTAGCTGTTCTTTCCGAGGCATAAAGGATGCCAAGGCCGCTATCACCCAGTTCAAAAAGTCTCCTGCAGCGCTCGAAGCCCCAGAGCTTGCTTGCTGAAAGCTTCGAGTGAGAGGTTGCGAAAAAGCCATCCTCTGCGCGGCACGGACACACCTCCTTTTCGGAGGGCCTCGGGCTGGGAGCGCAAATTGACAATAACCCGCGCGGCGAAAGCCTGAAGTCAAGAGGCACAACACCAGGCACAGAACAGACGGACAGGAAGGATCGTGAAGCATCAGCACTCAGACCCCAACTGAGCGTGGATGCTTCGAATGGGGAAACCAAATGAAGACGAGATGCCAGAACCGAATGGTGGGGGGCCTGCGGGGGTGGGGACGGCGGGGAATTAGGAGGGTCCCCAGGTCTGGTGTGGGCCTGGCTGATATGGTCTCGAACCTTCGCTCCGACGCTGGAGCCGCCGGATGCCAAAGTCCATGTCTCAGTGAGGAGTTTCTGGTGCTGGAGCGCGTGCCCTTCCATGCCTGTAGGCGCTCGAGAAAAGACTCCTAGCAATCCTCCGATGGCCGTGCCGAAGTGGAGTCCTTGATTCCGATTCCAAGCAGACAACCGAGAATCGAAAAGCAGCCGAGGGCCCGCAGTGAGCGACAGAAAGTGAACATCGCTGCCGAGCTGCCCCTTGGAACCAAGAACAGGTCTTTGCAGCGATGTCTGTGCAGAGGAGCTCGGGATCGCTTGTCGGCCTGTCGGCTCTGAGGCCAGCCACTCCCAGCGAAGATGCGGTTTCCATGTCCGACGCACAGCCCTGGAAGGAGTCACACATGTTCTCACTTTTGGGGGCCTTAAGGCCACTTTCGAGTCGGCCAACCACTGGCTCGGTGCGTCGCTTTCCAATCTCGGCCGCCGCCAACCTGGCACCCGGCCTCAGTCTGTTTTGCAACCTTTGCCAGCAGCATACTGCAATGGCGTGGTATGCCGCACTGCCGCAGTGCTCTGTCAGGCGCTCACGAAGAAGCGCCTCAAAGAGCGTGGAATGATGTGACAGATAGGCCGCGTGCTGTTCAAAATGCGACACTCTCCAAAAATCCTGAGAAAGTGCAGGCCTGCAGTGCTTGAAATTTACGATGAGATAAAGGGATTGCTTCCTAGACTGCTCTGCAAAGCAGAGCAGACAGAAACAGCATGCCGGCAGCGGCGCGCAATTCAGCCCATGCTTTACCTGTAGCTTCAGCAAACAGATCTGCACTGCACAGTACCACTGGGTGATTGCAGGATGTATGTTTTGCGCCGAATTTTCGACTAACTCCGTCTCACATTCACCGGGGTCCAACTCGGGTCCCGACACGGTGGAACCTAGCGTCGAAAGAGCTGGGTGTGGACAGCACTACCGTCGATCTGCTACATGAAGCGGGGCCTTGTATGCCAGTTGGGTTAGTATGGAATGGGAGCTCAGAAGAGGATGCTCTTAGTGTATTTAGCAGGCTTCAACTGCATGTGGGAGTCAAGGAGCACACAGGAGGAGTGTTTTGAATGGGCTACTGAGCGGCTGCAAGAGCTGCGAGGAAGATGCCGGATGTTCGCCGTGTGCCATGGTATCACCTGAGCAAGCAGCCGCTGCAGCGATTGCACGCTGGGAGGCTCCGATGCATCTTGCCATATCTTGCTGCCTCATATCAATATTGCAGGTGGAAGAAGACGGCATCTGGAAGCCATGTGATGCAGAGGACGCCCGCATCATGATGGGCGTTAATAGATGGCTAGGCAGCGGGAGGGTCGCAAAGTGCCAAGAGTCCAAGAGGTGACTCTCGCATTGCGCCTGGCTGGAGCCAGCCTGAAGCAGCGCGTGGACTGCAAGGTGCAAGGCCGGGGCTTTCGGTTCTCTGGTCGATTCCACAGGGAACCCTTCCGCTTTCCCGGAGTTCGATTTCGCGAGGGCGATTGTTTCCAGAATCCAGAAGCCCCAAAGTATGAAAGACAGCAGTTTGCTGTAGACCGAGCTGTGCGTGCCGAACATTCTCAAGACCCAGCTTCTCACCCAGCGACAACAGCAATCTAAACCACACCGACAAAACCGAAATAGGGCTTCCAGCCTTTGTCCCAAGTCTTCGGAACAAGCGGTCACGGATAGCCGCCCTAAACATTTATGTGGTGCCTTGCCTGCTGTGTAAGACTGACTTGCGACAGTCGAAACAAGAAGTGAGGAATGCTTCTGAAGCCGAACATTAAATGGGTATGTTTACGGAACATTATACTTGACTCTTTGAGAAGAGCGCATGATACTCGAGAGAAAGTCTAAGCCCTAAATGGCTTTTAGGGGGGGAAAATAGGTAATAGCCTCGACTGCATCGTCCGAGTCGCGAGAGTCCAAATGGGTAAGACCTAGGGCGACTCGTCTCATTCTTTGTTCGAGGCCCGTGATTGTAACCTCGCCTGTCCGAAAAGACCGAGACCAGCTGGTTTCCTCGGCCCAATATCGCAGTCTTGCGAACACCTTGAAACACTCGCGCGGCTCCCGGGAAGATCGAGGGGTCTCTAGCGTTGCAGGCCGGTTGCACTGATCTCTGAGTATGGTTTTCTTTTTTTTGATACCCTCCCTCCCTCCCTCCCTCCCTACCGCGAGACTGGACGAGCTAGGCCATCCCTGTTCAGACTGATGCCTTAACTGACGCGCAAAGTTGATTGATGAAGTCACGGGCTGGACTTCGTGCCAGAGGAGGATAGATGTGGCGAGCAGTGCTGAAACTGCAGAGCCGATTTTATGGTTACTTCTCAGAATCTCGCTATCCATGCCCTCTGCTTCATTCGGCCCTTCGAGGCAGATCCTGTGAGCTTGATCTACTTCGATTGGTCGAGCGCGATAAGGTCACCGGATTTTGCAGGCTGCTGAAAGAGTTCTCCTTCTGCAGATTTTGGAAGGACCTGTGGAAACTGCGTGGTGCCAGGAGCCTTCAACAGCTTCCACCGAATGCTGCAGAAGCTGCAGCTGCGCGGGCTGCCGCAGGGTGCAAGGGGGTGTGTTGTCCACATTGCGATCGGCGTCTGAGCTGTGCAGGAGCGCCCCTGGCTTGACGTCCTGTGGGCCAGAAGCAAGCGAGGTGTAAGGGATGCGGGGTGCGGTTTCAAGCATGGAGAACTCATGTTTTCAGGTCCCAGCTGCACGTTCAAAGCGGACGCTGTCTGGCTACTTTGTGCGGAGTGCAGAAGAGACCTCACAGGCAAGGCGCAGAGTCAGCTATTCGCAGTGTTGCACATGGCTTTAGCTGTGCCACTGCTGCAGGCGAAAGCCCCTCGGCACGAAGTACCACATCCACCAGCGCGTGAGATGGCTGCGGGACAGCAGCGCCAGGCACCCGGTCTTGTGCTATGGCTGCGGCTGCCTCCAAGTGTTGGATGTCCTCGAGTCCTGTTCGTTTTCTGAGCATAAGGAGTCCAGGGCGAGACAACCCAACACATTGAAACATGCCAGCTTTCACGCTTTAACATAGATACATACATACATATGTACATACATAGATATATACGTACACACACACACACACATATATATATATATATATATGTGTGTGTGTGTGTGTGTGTGCGTGTGCCTGTGTGTGCGAATGCATGTATGTATGTATGACCAAAAGGCCGAAGATGCTTCAATCCCAGATCGTATCCGAATTCGTCATTCAACTCAAAGCGGCATTCTGCCTGGCAGTAGAATGCGTGCGTGTATTCACAGGTGTTTCTTTCGTCGCGCTGCCCAGCGACTCGTTCAGCAAAAACGCTAAAGATCACGAGCCCGACTGGCCTCGACACACGCCACAAGCGGCATCAACATGTGAATTGTACCCGCGGAATGGGTACTTACTTGCCTATGCTGGAAAAGACCCAAGATGATGCCTGCCCACCGTATGGTCCTGTCCTAGTCCTATTTGCCAATCGTGTTCTTCTGGTTGTTGAAGCCCTGCTTTCCATCAAGGTATCACTCCAAGCCTTGTGTTGAAGTTGTTGTGGATCGTGACCTTCACATGACGCATCATATCCTCCATGCCCAGGGTGGAGCACGTTTAAAGCCTTAAAGCCACCAGCAAGATCGGCAGGCGGTCTTTTTACTCTGACGCAGGGCCGAAGGGCCTAGAACGAAGACACCCAGCAAGATCTTGTAGAGCGCCTCATCGCCCTGTTGCCAACTGACGTGCCACGATACTGCGAGGCAAGCTGCACGTCGATATGGGGCAATGCTCATGCTACTCAGTTACCTAACTAAGCTAGACTGCAAAACACTGTCAGATCTTTGTGGCTGACTTGTCTTCGACTAGACGTACAGCTGCATCCCACGCAACCCGACTGGTGCTTCTTTCCTTCGCAATCCGATAGCAGTGGGGTGGTACTGGTAGCGGTAGTGGTGTTGGGCAGTTTCAAGATGGGGAAGAGCATTCCGAGTTGCGTGCTGTCAACGGACCCGTAGGCCTGTGGAACTCAGGACATGCAGCTGTGGCCAGAGCAGCAGATAAGGAGGATGCCTCTGCCTCCGTTGACGCGAAGACAGGCACACTTTACAACAGTGGCTGCCAGCTTCTCTTCACATGCATGTGCTAGAAAGATTCTGAATGAGACTGCAGCCATCTGGGGCAATGCCTTCTCGGATAACCTAGCCGAAGTCTCCGAGCAGGATAGAACAGAAACGTACCTGAGTTACTTGTGCTTTCTTAACCTTGGCATTCTTGAAGTTCAATTACTTGTAGTCTTTCCGGCGATGCTTGTGGCCAGAAGCCGTTGGGCCTGGTGTACGCCGCTTGCTCATTTGCTCCGTCCTGTTCTGGCTAATGGGCGGCTGGCATTGCAATGTCAAAATCAGGGCCGCGCTCCATACCGGTCAATCAGCTGGGGACAACCGCTCGACGCCACATGGCGACGACTGCAAGCCCCGAAGGCTCCGGGGTTCCAAAGATCCTTCGCTTCAGTGCACGAGGTCCTCGCGAACGGGGACATTCCATTTCCGCGCGTCCGCGTGGTAGACGACAGAGGGCTGGTCGGAGACTTTCTTCTAGGTGAGGCCTTGGCACTGGCGAAGCAGCGTCGGACAGACCTCGTCGTTTTGTCAGGGCAGGTTGAGCCTCCGCTGTGCCGGCTCGTAAACCTGCATGTGTATATCGAGGAAATGGATCGTCAAGCTGCTTCGAAGGAGCAGCAGAAACGTGAGCAGCGCCTGAGGGAATTTAGTTTCGACCCAGCGATGCGAGTCAAAGGAATGAGGTTCACCTCGGTAATTGACGAGCACGACTTTGAAAGAAAACTGAATCAGGTTCGCAAATTTCTCGAAAAGGGTCACAGGGTGGAGGCTCGAATTCTTCAGAGTCGTGGCAAGCCCGAAGATGTGCTTGACCTTGCTTTACGGATCATCGCCGAAATACGTGACTTGGCCAAGCCTGAATACTTCGAGGAGAGTATCCGGGAACTCCAGATGGCGATTCACTCGCCAAAAAGTCTGAAGCGGACCGGCCGTGCTCCACCCGATGAGCTGAGAATGCGACTGTGGCCGTGCACGCCAGAGCAGGCTGCAGCCTTTCGCCTGCCTGCCCACATCATAGGCCCGCGCCGGCGCAAGGGGCCAGCAATCGTTGGTATTGATGATGGGCCGGAAGATGAGTTTGCCTGGAAGCTTAACCGACGACCACGGCCAGAATCGCGGACCGCTCGCGGAAGTGATCTTCGACGCGATGCGTTGGAAACAAGCGAGTAGCAACTCGGTGGACGACCAGGATCCCCCACACGGGCCAAGCTCCACGTCAGCGAATCCGGGCGCCGACGCTGGAAGATGCACTGCACAGTCAAGGGCGCGACAGCAGCAACAGATGTCCCGAGGACGCCGTTTAGTTGCGGGAGCAAATGGCCCAAAGTGAGCCCGCCCCGGCAAGCATGTGTAACGCTGACGATCGCCCTGAGCAGCTTCGTGCATACTTGATGTTCTGATTTTGGCGGCGAGCATATGGAACAGTGCATGAAGGCACATGCTAGCCCTCTGAACCCATGACAGGAAATGAGCGAATCGCTTCCATTTTCGAAGAGATGAGTGTCATACAGAAGCTGCGCCGGGACCGGTTCCGTTCACAGGCGAGCGCCGAGAGCCCGACTTGTCGACCAGTCAGAAGAGCCGACTGAGCTGCCAGGCCTATGCCAAAGCTGCGCAGGCTCTTCGGGCCCACCAGGAGCCGATTGCGAGTGGCGCTCAAGCCAAGGGCATTCCAGGCATCGGCTCTGGCATGGCCGGCCGGATTGACGCATTCTGCTCAGAACCTGCTGCCCTCGTGGAGTCTTGTGGCACCAATGTGGCAAGCCGATGCTGCAGCTGAGGTGATTCTGGCGACTGGAGAACTCAGCGAGCTGGATGAGCTGAAGCGTGACAGCGATGTCATCGCATTGCGCGAACTTCGGTCCGCGAGGGCCGTAATGGCAAATCACTTGCGGGAGGTCTCTGACAATCATCGAATGTACCCGTTGCATTCCGAGGTACATGGAATCGGGGCAGTTCGCGCAGCGGAGCTCGTGGAGCGGGGCATCCGGTCACTGCTGCACCTGCGCGAAGCCGTTGCCAAGAATCAGGCGTGTCTGGGTACTATGTCACCTTTCTTACCACGCACATCAAGTAATGCCAGGTTCACCTCGATGCTGCCCAGGCTCATAGATGAAGAGTAAGTGGTGCGAGGAGCGCTGTTCGGGATTTGGACAGAGCAGGTCGTCGGACTGCGCCATTGTGAAGAGTTCGCGAAGCGGATACCTTACGCCACCTGACTGCAGAGAGCAGCGGCCATGGCGATGTCTTTTGCTCCAGCTCCAGGCCGAGATGAAGGAGCATCATCACATGCTTGAAGTGTGCAGACTGCGGAGCAATCCCAAGTTACTGCTCACAGCCGGGTCCTGAGAAGCAAGCTGAAGCCTGCGCTTCAAACGCACTTCGATGTGAGACAACCAAGGTTTGCGGTTCCTACCGGCGTGAACGACCTGATTGTGGTGATATTGACTCTTTGCCCTTGTTTCAGATGCATAGCCAACTGCATCCCTTTCTTTTGTTACATTGTTGCTTGCAGTTACATTGTTGCTTGCACAGCATTTTGCGCTGATGCTGGCAGATCTCAGCTTCCCTTGCAAGGATGTGTTGATCAGCCACCCTGATTACACAACGGCAAAGCGCGATGCTAACGCTGGAGGGAAGCTCCTGCATGGCTTTGTGCCTCCTCGGGAGATAAGGGTGCAGCATCAGCTGGAGGAGGAATGAGCATTTATGAATTTTTTTCCTGCCACAAGCTGAAGTTTGAGGTGGAGTCTCTGAAGCACGATGGGTACGTGACAGCGGACTTGGCTTTCGGCAACACGAAGTTTATGGGTGTTTGCAGGCCGCCGTTTGCCTGCTTTACTTCTGCTGTGGGGACTATCGAATTTACGTGCACAGGTGAAGTCGAGAGAAACTTGAATCCATAGGCTGTCGGGAGACGACCGCTTGCACCGACGGCTCGACATCCGCTGCTTGCCCAACGACCAGTACCACTTTGGTGTGGGCCCGAGCCGACGAGTCGATCCCGGAGTTCAATGTCTGCTTGACACACGCACATGATGCTACGTGCACATGGTAGTAGGCCGCTCAGTGCAAACGTCGCTTTTGGCTGCAGTGCTGGTTAGAAGGTCAGGCATGTTTCCCTGAACCAACGCTAAGTCGGCACCCGTAAGCCTGGAAGTTTGCAAGGTCTTCGTAGGCAAACAAGTCCACTAGCTGCTTTGACAAGCACTGTTGTCACCATGAGCTTGGACTGGAGCGATCGGGATTTGCTTCAGCAGCTTGGCTGACACTGGGTTGGACGAGCCCTTCTTGAGCTTTTGGGCAGACCACGTGTGCAGTAGTGAACAGTTGACGCGCACGGTGCTCAGAAGAAAAAGCATTTACTCCTGCTGGCTGCAAGCTCCAAAGGTGGGCACAGCGGACGTTGCCCGAGTTTCTGTTGATGAGCATGCAGGACTCGTCTGACAGGACTGTTTCCGCCTTGATTTCTGCGAGTCCAGCATTCGAGCAAATCCAGCACGAGTCAAGAGTTGTCCAAAGGAAAAGAAGCATTGCCTCGACTCCGTGGCAGCACTACGAGCTTTCCATCGCGGAGGTTCAGCTTGAAGGCCTGCAGGGCAATGGGAGGTTTGCAGTGAGTGGTACGAGCGTGCACGAGCTGTAGCTGTGAGGTGAGGTGAACTTGATTGGCAAAAAGGAAGAGCCCATGTTGCAGTTCGACATCGACCTGGGGATGCGCGTGGATGTTGAGAAGAGAGTTGCACCTGAGCTTGGCCCATGTTGCAGCATGAGGAAATATCTGGGTGTAAATACGACAATGTAGCACATGTCTGCATCGCAGGTAGATCGTGCGAGAAATGATGACACCGACTATTGGCCGGGCATCGCGCAAATCGTGCACTTTGCTACTTGGGCTGACCAACTGCTTCGACCGTCGTGAGACTGGCAGTACAGTATCTTTCTTCTGACTAGCTGATGGCGGTATGCATCGGAGAGTTGTTAGTAATTGTGTGACCACCAAGGACAACGAGAACATGAAGCCGTCGATAATTACACGGCTACAAGAGCTACCAGAAGATGTGGCGCCCGAGGTAAACTGGTACCTCCAGGATGCCGGCATACCCAGACCTTTCATGGCAAGCTACTTTCACCTGCACGCCTGAGGAGGGAATGGGCCGGCAGTTCATCTGGCATGGACTGGCTAGGTGGCATGCTTATGCAGCTTCCTGGCGGCAAGCTGCACTGCATGTTGACTGATGCCGGTTGAACAGACCATGGCCGAGAGAAGGGCACCCTAAGGTCCAAAAGTGGCTGAAGCAACAGATTGCGCCCGCCGTGCAGGACGTGAACAGACTGACACCGCCGAAGTATGTGAGTCAACACGTGACGACATGGAACTAGCCCTCGTCGTTTTCGGAGCTGCACGTTGCATCTTGAATCTGCAAGGGCGAAGTCGCAGAGTCCCATCGGTAGTTGTCGCGTATTGGAGTCCTACGTTTCATTCTCAATGCGGAAGAGTGCAAAACAAAGCGGAGGACGGGCGGGCGAGAACACTCCCCAAACTAAAGATGGCAAATGTTGGAGCACGCGCATGCACGCACAAAAACATATTGAGCCTTCACGTATCAAAGATTTTTATTCGGAGGTGTCCAAGCCAAAAAACCTCACGGAAGACGGCTTGATTCAGTTCCATGTCAGCTCGCACTCTTGAGCGGCGCTGGCAGTCCAGGCAAACCTTCGCTTTTTCGGTCAAAGCCACGGATAGACCGATGGATGCTTAAGTGGATATGCATAGATGCACACATAATTGACAGACACCCACACACAGGCACGTCCCGTTCGAAGCCTGACTTTAAATATGAAAGTATCCATCCGCAGGTGCTTGGCAAGCTTGCTCTTGTGTCTTCGTTTGCATGATTCCCCTGCCCAGGATCCGCGTGACTGTCCAGTGCCCGCTCCATCCTTTCCACCGTTTCTTGTGGAAGCTCGCAAGAGGCCCGACAGGGTTGTGCGTGCAGGGGCTCACAGTTCGTAGAGGTCCTATCGGTTAAGAGGGTCTCGGAGAATCATGCAAAGGTACGAAGACGAGATCCGGCAAATCCTGTTGAATTCAGACGATGAGGAGGAGTTGTTCGATGCTGGTGTTCGCACATCATATATGTGGAAAAGCTCAGCTTCCGGAGGAAGATGTGAACACCCACAACCTTCTCGATGATATGGAGCAGGTGGGCATTCCACGGGATTCGGTGTCTGTTCGTATGTCCAGCTCTTGACATCAGCTTCCCAAGACCATGGCAGCCAGGATGCCGGCCTCAGGTTGCCGCTCGTTGGGCCAAGCCAGATCCACTCGCTGTCAAGGAAGATTTTGTCGGAGTTCGACGGTTATCCGGACTATGCGCTTCGGCTGAACTCGACAGTGTGTTGGGATTGCGCCAAGCCGAGTCGCAATGCGAGTCGCAACGAGAGTCTTAAGGTCAGTCCCCCAGTTTCCGACGACGAAGATGACTTTGACCCCTCCGCGCCGTACGAATTTAGCGATGATACCTTCGAGTGCAAACGGAAGGGGGCTCCGCCAAAGATGAAGAAGTTTGGTCGATACCCTTTTCTCCCATCCATGCTTGCAGGCAGGTCAAGAGTCTAAAGCATCATCAACTAGAGCTACTGCACCGAATCCATGCACGCAATGGCTGGTGCAGGCCTGGGTGGTCCGTCAAAGGACTGGCTACCTCCAAAGCAGCATGCAATTGCTCATCCGGAGTGGTTTCAGACTGCTACAAAGTCTGTCGTCAACACTAATGGTGTCACACACTTAGACCACATCTTGGAAAAGGCGCGAAAGCGCAGGGAAGAGTTTGCAGCATCATCCGCGAACAAGCTCATATCGATGCGGGCGTCGGATCTTTGCTTGGCCATCGAGAAGGGTGATGCCATGAAAGCTTTTGCCAAGCTCGATGAGGAGACAGCCAGTTGCCCTCATCCTGACACCGGGCGCTGTGCAGCGCACTACTGCATCGCCAAGTCCTCCCACGAGATGCTGCGGATGGTGCTGGAAGCCAGGGCTGACCCAGATGCTCGCGACTCCTTCGGACAAACTGCTCTGATGATGGCCGCGAAGCAGGCCCAGCAACGGAGAGCTTCAGTGCAGCCCATGTGCCTAGGCGTGCCTAGGCGTAGACAAGCGTGGCATTGCATGTGGCAGGGCGACGAAGAGTCGGCGAAGATGCTCCTAGAAGCCGGAGCAGATGCTACGCTGACAGACTCCCTGAACCGCTCAGCGTCAGAAATGGTCAAGGCAAGCTCAAAAGCCACAGCAATCTTAACACTGGTACATGTGGCTGTTTCAGGTCGCGCAGAGTCAAGAGGAGGAGGAGAATCCATTACGGCACTGGCGGGAAAAGATGATGGGAGAACCAATCCCCGAGGATCCCTCGAAAAAGAGTCGCGATCTAAAAGCCTTGATCGATGATCGAGAGCGACCAAAGAAGTATGGCGCTTTGTTGCTCGGCGCGCTGGCTCAGAAGGATGTCAGGACGGCCGAGGCTGCGATGGAGTCAGGTGCAGATGTGAACCTTCCAGACGACAGGGGGGACACTGCCCTCCTGCTTATCGTCTGATCCCAAGCTGTGTCTTCTGAGCTTCGTGGTTCTTCCGAAAGAGCCAAGGGCTGCACTGACGTGGACTGAGGTCAAAAGCAAGTGGAAGGACTCTCAAGGTTTGCAGAGCCGACTGGTGAACAAGGCATACAAAGCTGGTGCGAGTGTGAACTTCCAGAATCTACAAGGCAACTCTGGCTTACACTTCGCATCCCACCGTGGAAGCGTTGAGCTGACCAACTTGCTCTTGAGCTTGAAAGCCAACCCGCGCCTCTCGAACAGCGAGGGCAACACGCCGTTGATGTACGCGGCTCATAGCGGCCACGAGGAAGTCTGTGCGGCACTGCTTGAAGCGGGTGCCCCGGTGGAATTGAAAAATCGGGCAGGGCTCACTGCACAAGATATGGCAGAGCGGAAAAACTTCAAGTCCACAGCCGCTTTGATTCACGCCTATCTGCTGGCACCCAAGAAGGCCCTGCTGTGGAGCATCCCCAAAACATGGCTTGTGTTTGACATGCCAGTCAGCTTGTCTCGCAGACTGTGTGCAGGATAATGAAGCCAAGAAAGTGGAGGCAAAGCGGAAAGATGCCAAACCCCACAAGCTGGACTTCGACTATTCAAAATGGGATTCACTGGAGCGAGAGATGCGTGAAGATGAGGAAGAGGAGCAGACAACTCGGATGCGAGAGTCAAGCGCAGCGGTTCGAAGGCCCTGTGGTCTTGCATTGTCCGAGACCAGGCTGCTTCGACTTGTAGACTGTAGGTGGGCCTGATGTGGCAACTCCGTATGTCGAACTTTGCCAGCTTGTCAGACAGCTTGTCGGAGCCAACGTCGCGCAAGAGGCACAAAACCGGGAGCGCAAAAGCGGCGGACCACGCACCCATAACCTCGCCTGGCTTGTGCGAGTGTGAGCCCCGAGAAGCGGCGGACAAGGGAATCAGCTGAAACCCAAAGAGCCGGAAACTCGCCGCGGTGTAGCGCAACTCGCCGTCGCATAACGCGGAGAACAATGGGCCCAACATTTCGCTAGGCTGCTTTCATTGTTGTAAGTGGAATGTTTGGAGATCCTAGATCTTTAAGTCGCAGTTCTGTGGTGGGGCAGTTGTCAGGCCGATGCCAAAGTTTGAAGACCTGGGACCGGAAGCCTTTGGCCTGCCTGCCGACACCCCCTGGCCGCCCGATGCCTCGAAGAGGAAGAAGGGGCCCTTCGACTATGGACATTGGGACAAAATCGTGGACGACATCGAGCGCCAAGACAAGGTGTTAGACAGGTACGACCGCTTGCAAAAGAATCCGCAGTACGAGTACCGAGATGGCCAGAAGATGCAGGTGATCTTCTGACATCGGTCTTGAGACCCCTTGCATCCATTAGGCAATTAGGCCTACATGCTGCGGTGAAGCCTTCGCACCGCAGCTGTGCGAGCAGATTTAGCGCACCGCTGTTAGAAGATGGTTCGGATCGAACTAGCTGTCGATCGAGTGTATGTTACCATGTCTCAGCGCCGCTATGGCCGGAGCTGTAGCTTCACGTCTCTTCTGATAGCGGCGACGAAGACGAGGAAGAAACGGTCTGTTTGCTCAGTGCCTGCATCACCAGGCAGCAGGACCGCGGCCACACAGGCGCCCTTGAGTTAAGGAATGCTGTACTTCACCGGCAGTGCGGTTCTGGCCTCGGAGGGAGAAGCTGAGTCTGCGGCGGTGCGTGGTACTTGCGGCAGGCTCTTGGTGTGAAAATGCGCCTGAGACTGGGGCCTGAAGTTTAGCAAGTGGCGGTGGTGTGTTTACGCTCCAAAGTTACACTTTCACCCGATATCATCCTCTCTACTGAGTCAGCAGGAACCCGCAACTGAGGCTGAGCTATAGGCGTATGCTGTTTGCACAGTTTGGTCGTAGAAGGTTCGGAGCCGTGCCTGTGTACATCAGAATGCATTCTCACAGGAAAGCCATTGAACTTGGACTCACACTCAGTGAGTATGGGCTGGAGAATCGGAAGACCGGAGAGAAGGCGCAACAAGATTCGAACGTGTGCACCCAGCCTTCAGTGCAGCTAGGGAGGAACATGTGCAGCGAATTTAGTTTCAGGTAAAAGCCAGCTGCGAGCAGGATATTTTCAGATGCCTGGCTACAGGAAATTTTTGCAGACTTCTTTGAGGTGGTGCATGCACAACGACGGTATCTCGTCTGAGGTGCGCTGGGCATGTCCTACCTGGAACCCAACGAGCGCTGACCTATGCAGACAAAGCCTGCCTGAGCAGGTGGTGGACTCTTTTGTACTTTGTAGGATGGTCGACGAAGCAGTTGGCGAAGATGTTCTCAGAGGTTGCGCCGCAGTAGGCGGCCAAGCTCGGATCCGAGGTGGGCAGGTCTAGAAACCTGGAAGGGCCAAACAACTCTTTCAACCTGACGGCGCTTCGCTGGAAGCCCGAAAGTTTCATCCCTAGCTCCAGCTGGCTCTTGGGCTGGTCGAAAAAGTCACATCCAACCTGCCGTGCTGATGGGTGCGGGCGTGCACGGGTGCCGACAAGGAAGTAACGCACGCCGCATGTCTGCATGCCGATTTGTGGCTTCAGCATTTTGCACCAGAATACCGCGCCAGCCTAGCGAGAGCCGCTTCAACGCCATATATAAGCTATGGTGAGCCCGGCTATGCTGAAGGGGATGAACACGGAGGTCTCCTGCCCAACTTGCTTCTAGTAGATGCGCTTGTATGACGAATTTGCATGTGTTGTTCTGCTTGGAGGTGTATGGCGAGGGGCATCCGTTCGGCGATCCTGCATGGTATCAGGCATACTACACGCCCTACTACAACGACAGCCACAAGCAGTTCCGAAAGCTGATGCGCGAGTACGTTGATGAGCACATCATGAGCGACCTAGTTGTCTTGTAAGCAAGCTTTAATCGTTTTGGGCTATGTAATCCTGAACCTTTAAGCTGTTTCCCCAGGAAGCTGGACAAGTAAGGCAACGTGCACGACTGGGATGCTAGCATGGACCAGCAGAAAGTTGTTTCCCTGTGGCTATTGAAACCTGCTTCGAATTCCTGCATGCAGTGCAAAGTTTCTGCCAAGGACGAGAAGGGCGTCATCCCCAAGGAGATGTCTCCTGGTGGTGTAAGAAAGTACATGGTAAAGACTAAACTGTTCATACCGGCCCCTATGCCAAAAGTTTGATGCAGGCGGGGGGAACTGCGGAAGCAGCACTAGCTCGCCAAAGGTACCTGGAAGCTGGCAAGCAGGGCACACTGGCCCTATGCATCGGAAGGCCCTGGCCAGAGAAATACTACGGCAAGGCGCCTGCTTCTACAATTAGTGCTTCCTTCAGCGTTGCTTTCCAGCGTGATGAGCTGACCTTATTATTGAAGCTGGCCAGGCCCCTTGGGGCTTCGAGCCAGACTATTTCCATGAGCTGATCATGCGTCCTGCTAGCAATGCCAGGGTGTTTGGTTGCTAGAAACCCGTGTAAGCTCTTTCAAATGACTGTACTGCCGCAATGAAAATGCTGTGCCGTCCACCATCACGGCAAAAAGCGAGGTACGACGAGATGTCACGGACCGGATCAGTCGGTTTTCAGTGGGGTATTGCAGGCCTACTACGACTCGGTCTAATCTTCATCCTTCCTGGCGTCTAGGGAACATGCACGCTGTCGCTGCATTATGAAAATCACTGGGATATTGCAGGTGGCACCACCATCGGACTGCCACCAGTGTACCACCACGGCAGTGAAGAGTTAAAGCAGCGCGTGGTCACTCCATGCGTGAAGGGTGAGAAGGTCTGCTGTCTGGCCATCACCGAGCCGACGGCGGGCAGTGACGTCGCCAACTTGAAGTGTTCTGCGAAGTTGGAGGGCGACCACTACATCCTGAATGGTGAAAAGAAGCTTAGCAAGCACGACTTTGATTCAGCATGGTCGGGTCGCTGCTTTAGTTGCTGCACAATTGGTTACAGTTCCTGTCGCAAGTTGTCAGTCTGTTCAGCAAGGAAGTGGATCACAAACGGAATCTTTGCAGACTATTTCACTGTGGCCTGCCGAACAGGAAAGCCGGGCGTGGGTGGAATCAGCTTGCTGCTTGTTGAAAAAGACATGCCCGGAGTGGAGACGCGAAAGATGAAGTGCTCGGGTGCATGGTCATCTGGCACCACCTACATAACCTTTGACGATGCCGCTCGGGATGGCCTTGGCAAGCAAGGGTCATGCTGTTTCGCTAGGAGTCTCAAGACCAAGAAGGAACAGCCAAGGTCAAGGTGCCTAAGGGCAACCTTCTCGGCAAAGAGGGCAAGGGCTTCCAATACATGATGCTTAGATAGCCAATGGGAGAACTTTAAACTTTTTGGCTGTATATATATATATATATATTATTGGGTCTACCTTAAAAAGCTTGCAGTTCTCGGCCTGCTTGTTGAAGAAGAGAGGATGCAGAACTTCAACCACGAGCGTTTCGCCTTCTGCGCCATGAGCACGCGCTTCGCCCGAGTTTGCTTGGAAGACTCCCTGAAGTTTGCCGGCAAGCGCAAGACCTTCGGCAAGACCCTGATACAGCACCCAGTGATTCGCTGGAAGGTGGCAGAAATGGCCCGCATGATTGAAGCAACCCACAACTGGTTGGAATGGATTACGTTCCAGCTCAACACCATGCCCAAAATAGAAGCGATGCTGAAGCTGGGCGGACACACGGCTCTCTGCAAGGTCCAGTGCACCAAGGCCCACGGCCCACGCATGCCCAGATTGGTTATGATTCTCATCGCCTGCGTTTCTTGTGTTCCTGACCTCTGCAGGTCATGGAGTACTGTGCTCGAGAGGCCGCCCAGATCTTTGGAGGCTTGTCCTATTCGCGCGGAGGTCAGGGAGAGAAGGTCGAGCGACTGAACCGCGAAGTGCGAGCGATGGCCATCCCTGGAGGCCGGCTCAAGTCCTAGCTTTCCACGGCTCTACTGCTTGAGTCGGGATGTCCAAGGCTCTGAGGAGATCATGCTGGACTTGGGTGTGAAGCAATCGACGAAGCTGGCTCAGATGGCGAAGATGTTCGCAGAGGCCGCGCCGCAGCAGGCCGCGGCCAAGCTCTGATGCGCAGGCCGTGCTTGTCCCAGGTTTCTGCAGACGCTTTTGAGATCAGCAGGTCGGAACACCTACCCCGAAGCAAAGCGGAGTAGTCTGTCGCAGGGTTGACGAAGCTGCTTACGCCAGGAACGCCTGGCGACATGCTGCCGACAAGTCGGTTTGGAGGGCATGTTCCGGTTCACAGGTTGTCGTGAAAAAGAGGCTGTACAGAGCACTTAGACTTAGAATGATTTAGACTTAGTTGGGTCCGATGGCACAAAATCGGGCAAAAAGGACATTCTCTGTAGTGCTGCTGGCCACAGTTTGCTACATCTTGTGATGGAGCCTGAAGGCGCAACAGGCAGTCCTTCCAGACGCAGCCTGTGGAGCCCCAAAGGTCACTAGCAGGCACTAGCACTAAAATCTGACCGGCCACGCGTATGGAACCGCAGCTTCGCAGCAGTTTTGATGCACAGAATGTCGTTTTTTTGCGTTTTGCGCCGTGCTATCTGCAGTGTCTTTCCAAGACTGCAGGTCTCGGAGCAACAGCGGCTACTGGTCGGCTGACACCTGGGATCCAGACCTGCGTGTTTATACAGGGGCCGACATCTTCCACACACACCAGTTTGCGGTCGAGCCAGATCAACAGAAGGCTGTTCAACACGAGCCAGCTCAACCACGTCTCAGGACAGTCGGGTTTTTGTTGATGTCATACAACATAATCAAACTCCGAGTCACCCGAGTTCGCACAACCCTTCCTTTCCCTGTCTCCCAGGGAACGCCAAGATTCAGCTGGGTACTGGGGCGCGCTGGAGAGTGATGCGACCAGAGAGGTGCACATCGGCAGCCTGCATGCAGACAAAGAGACAGCTCGCCGAGCTGTGAGGGTCTCCTTTGACGAGGGTGCCGCAGAGAGCGTGCCTGGCAAGTCGGAAGGCTCTGACCAGAACGGCTTGGTAAGAAAAAACAGCGATTACTGGAACTCGTCCAACTGGGATCGTAACGTCCCATTGAGGGCCCAGGAAATCACAACTCCCACCACCGAAGCTTCCAGCACCCTTTCTAGGAAAGGAAGCAATGCTTACTGGGATGCAGACCAGTGGGATCCGGATCAACGGGTTTATGTGGGAGCCGAAACAGGCCAGACCATGCACCGTACGGCCGTCATTGACGACCATGAGGACAAGCTGCTTCGTGCATGGGCTGGGGGCCTGACTTGTGAGGACTATGGGGGAAGCGCGGCACCAACCCTGGACTTAGCCACTGGCACAGAACCCCCCGCACTCAAAGACTTGTACGATGTCACGGCAGACTCGGTGGGATCTGGAAGTTTTGGAGTTGTTTTCCTTGCTCGGCACTGCAAGTCGGACAAGCCCTGCGTAGTCAAAAGCACGAAGAAGGCCCAGTGCGGCTCCTCCTTCAAATCACAGGTGGAAGGTGGACTTTACGAGTCTCTTTTGGATATGTCAAGAAGAGCCCCGCACGAGAACATCGTCCAGTACCTCGATGCCCTAGAAAGCAGTGACCATTACTACGTTATCATGGAGAACCTTCGGGGTCCAGAGCTTTTGGAGAAAATGGAGCGCGAGTTCCCCATCACCGAAAGACACTGTCAGGAGGTCATGAAGGAGGTATTGTCGGCGCTGGCACACATCCACGACGTGGTAAAGATCTGTCATCGGGACATCAAGCAACGCGACCCCGACAGCCTGACGGCTTCTTTTGTGGCGTTTCGATGGTTGTTTGTTTGATGCACTCATCAAGCCGCAAATCATGTGCAACCAAGGCTTGACAACTTCCGATACCGAAGTCCTGAACCCGGTGCGCCATTGGTGCTGCTGGACTTCGGCTTCCTTGCTCGCTTGGATCAGCCCTGGGACGGCAAGAAATGTGGCACACGTGGCTCAGAAGCACGTCAGCTCACTTCTTTAGAAGCAGTCTTCGAGACGATGTGCAATCCTGCACGTCGGGTGAAGGCATGTTCATGGCTCCGGAGATATTCCAAGAAAGCGTCCAACAGTCGCAGATGCCGGCGATGGACATGTGGGCAGCAGGAGTGCTGCTGCATCTCATCGCAAGTGCTACATCTGAAACTTTTGGTGAGACTGTGCTTGCTTTGCGAGAGCTTAGGTACCTCCTCTTCACTGGGGACTGCCCGGTCCAGCAGGAGGACATGCCAAAGCTGAAACGAAAAGAGCCAGAGAGCCAAGACATCGTGCTCAAGGCCCGCGCGGCAGATTCCAGCCCCGCAGTTGTCCTTGTTGCAGCTGTCAGTCGCTAGCCGCTAGCGCCAGGCCCTGCAAGCTGACTTGTTGAAGTCGGTCTCTGCAGAGGAAAGCACGGGCACACGGGCACGGGTACGTGCAGAAAACGAGTGGCACAGAGTTTGTTTTCAGGCGAGACAACTTCTGGAGAAGCTGCTGGATTTGGAGGTGCGACTTGCTTCCGTTGAGTTACGAGGGGCGAGGTCTTCCTGCCAGGCATCGGAGCGTCTCCGTTCAGCCGACGCATTGAAGCACCAATGGCGGCCCGTCTTGGCATGGGAAATGTGAAGGGGTGCTGTCTGACTTGGTCCGGGCCCAGCGCGTCAGCTCAGGCTGTGCATGGATCTGGATGGCGGGGCTCGAGCTGTGCCAGCTCACAGGGAAGCTTACAGGCGCATGGCCAGCAAGAGCATGAAGGAGGCTCGCCCCCAAGGCTTGCGAAGTGGCCCAAGCAAAGACACGACCCAAGCCAGGCGGACATCGATTCTTGACAGCCTGCCGTGCCGCAGTCTGCACGGCGTGTGCAGGTTTAGATAACCCTTTAGCGGCTCTTTCATTACGCCGCACAATGGACAAACAGACTCCAAGAGTCTCTGTTCATAAACAGCCCCACGGACCAAGCACCAGATGTTTGCTCTTTGTCCAGCCTCGGCTCGGCAATCTAACCTTCCAGTCTACAATGTTACCCTGATACATGCACCTGCAGCACAAGCGGCTCAGGTAGCTTTCGCTTCTGGATTCCCGAGCTGATATTTTAAGCCATTTGAGTTTCAAGCTTTCGGCAGCATCGGCGTCAAACACTTGCAGCAGCTCCAGTCTCATAAGCAGCTCGAGCAACCGTTGCTGCTGTGACCAAATCTTACTTCGTTGCATGTGCAATTGTTGTCGCTGTTTTCGTGCTGCCTTGTAAATATGTAGTCTTTGACGAAGAACACATGATCTGTTAGCTTGCAGTGTATAGGCCCGTTTAGCCCACGGCTACCCACAAGTCCTCCTTCTTCAGAAAGCAAAGCGTAGTCGTCAAGAAGTACCATGAACTCGTGATTTCTTTTGTGTCGACCAGCCTGAGCCGGGCCCGACTCTTTCATCTATCTAGGAAGCGGGTGCAGGCCAAGACTGCGAACTCAGCTTGGTCTGCAAGTCTGCTGAGTCTGTTCCACCACGCTCTGCTGTGGCTGTGCTGGGATTGCTTCTTACGGAGAGCAAGGGGAAAAGAGCTCGGCTCACTCCATACTTCCTCTCGCGAGACAGCTTCCTTATTCCGAACGTCGTGAGGTATGGGAGTGAACAGTGGAGGGGTTGCTGCCCGCTTTCTTGTGGCAGATGCTTGAAGTGCCAGGTTAGAAGGGGTGGGGAGGCAGGAGGAGAACTTGCCGCTGTCGATGTACTTGTGCCGATGAGGCGAAGGTAGAGCCTGTGCATTGCCAGCTTTTTTACTTCGCGATCACCGTTGGATCAAGTGGCCCTTGAGAAATGTGGCGGGCCACTGGAGCCACAGAGCTCTGATGATCCTGTGCACGATCGCCGCGGACGCATCGAGCCCGTGAAAGCCTCAAGCGCCGTGAATCTCATGACTCGTTATATCTCTTGGTGTCTTTGCAGTAAATCGTTTTGGGCTGAGGTAGAAGCTAGCAGCAGAGGAGATGGGCAAACGAGGCCACCGGAGCCCGATGATATTTTGATTACGACACTGTGTCCTTGTCTGCAGACATCAGCGACGACGACGATGATGGAGGTGCGGATCGCATGGCTCAGACACGAATAGCAACAGAATCCAAAACACGCAACCTCAAGGGTTGTTCCAAGACAACAGCAGCATGCCTAGCACTTGCGCAAGGGTGCTTCGTTTTGTGTGCGGATGGGCTTCTCTGAAACTGCCATGTCAGATTAGTGGTGCAAGACTTGCGAAGGCAAGAGGAGAAAAGGTGGATTCTCGGATCGCCGAGGACTCAGTACGGAGGACTGCAGACAGAACGATGCTTGTGAAGTCTCAGTGGTCCTTCAACACCTCTCAGATGCACCACCGGACGATGGCCAGTCTGCTGAAATCCAGAACCGGCTCTTAGATTAGATATGTTGGACCGCGTGGCAGTCGGCAAGTGGGTGGGCATCTGTTTACGTGGCCTGCATCGCAGTCGGCGAAGTGGGCATCCCTTTCGCGAGGCTGGACCACATGCTCGCTGGTGGAGCAGGGCTTGGAGGGCCACAGCCCTGATACCTCTCCCGGACGAGTGTAGCAGGAACTCCCTCGACCATTGCAGGATCGGTTTGGGTGGAGTTGGCCTGGGCATGGGCAACATGGGCATGCCCAGCATGGCAATGCCCACACCCGGCCTGTCAGTTCCAGGCTTGGGCATTGGATTTTGCTGATGCTCTTGTCTTGTCGGGCTTTCGAAGGTGCCAGTGCCACGCCGGACCTGTGCCTGCGGGGTATGAAAAGTCTTTGTCCTTGTCGTCTTGCAGCCGTGGGAGTGCTTTAAGCTGGCAGGATTTGGATCCATTGAAACCAGCCACTACTCCAATGGACTTCTCCAAGCTAGGCGCAAATACGCCCAGCGGCGCACTCAAGCGACAAGTCCAGCTTTCCATGCATTGGTACTGTATTGGTTGGACAGCTCTGCGCTAACGTTTTCTGAGCTAGACGAGCTTCAGGTCAAGAGTTCCCTGTGCCGCGAGACATGGTGGCTGCTCGTCCCGATAGACATCAGGGCGTGCAGTGCACCATGCTGTCTTGAGAGATTGCACGGACAGGAGTACCTCATGACGCCTGAACACCGGCAGATTCTCCTTGAGGAGCACTCAGGCCAACCACGGCCATAGCATCGCCTTGAATGCGCAGGAATCAGGCTGTGATGTCGACTGGGCGCCAGACGAGTCCAAGGCCTGGCATGCTGGACCTACGTCCAGCTTTCAATGTTCAGCGGGTCCCGCGAGGTTTATCCTGGTCTGCTGTTGCATGTGTGTATATGATGAATATGTCTGGTTCGAGTTACGGAGAAGTCATGATACATCATGACACAGCTGCAGTCCAGATTTGCGTAATGAGATGCAATCGGCACTTCAGATGCATTCAACGAAACATTGTGGCAACCATTGCCTGTGGATGGTGCAGTGCATGCCTGCCGAGTGGCGCATGAGCCCATGTCGCCAAATGCGCTGGCAAGCCATGTGAACCTACATACATGCTGCTGTACTGCCACGGGCTGTGCCTTTGGTGAGCATGAGAACGGTTGTGCACAGGTCTTCCAAACTTCCATCTCAGAAACACTGTGAGCTGCCGCGTCTGTATGTGGTGCTTGCTCCCGAGGCTCTTGCTGCTTTGTACATCGCGCGCTCAGCACCAGACCCCTGACGAGCTGACACGAGACGTGGAACGGGCGAGAGATGAAGCCGCTGTTGCCTTTTTATGAGCCGAGAGCGCTGAGCGTGTTTGTGTAAGCAGGGGCAAGCAGAAGGTGTCAGCATTCCTGCGTCGGTGCACAGCTCGGACAGCGAGGTATGCGAATGGTGGCAGCAGTACCAGCGCCTTTTCCGAAAGCATTGGCAGACAGCCAATCGTGCTGAACGGCGAGCACATCTCTTTGAGACTGTGCCCTTGCTTCCCAAGGCCTTTAAAATCTGCATCCGACATGCTTTTGACAGTTTGGATATTAATTGACTTCACCTTTCCTGCTCTGCACGAGGCCAGATCTCATCCGCGGCTTGGCATCACGATTCTGCTGCAGTTGCGAGACTGACTGCTCTCCTTCTCAGGCGCACTCTTACGGGTGAAGATGCCGAGGGATTTTCTGATCTATGTCCCGAACTTAACTTGGAGGACCTTTCCGCAGATCCGCATGCGGCTCGTTCCGCAAACAAGCTGTCATGAGGTGCTGTGCTCGTTCTCGACATCTGTATCTTCTTTTGCGCGCCTTTGTGCATGTCCGGGAGTGGGTGCGTGTGCATGCTTGCGTACATCTCTGTCTGCGTGTGTGCACCACGCCCGAGCCTTCCAGTGACAAGGGGATTACGTACACTTTATCCTGCAGAGGCTCATCGGGGAGCTATCGATGCCCAGCGACGACACAACTAGCTAACTAACTAACCGTGGAAGTGTGCCTGCAAAAGCGAGCACGGCCTGTTTCAAAAACCCAGCATGTTGAACAGTGAGCTTTCCACCGACATCGTCCGAGATGACATATTGCACAAGTGTGCACAGACGGACCTGCATTTCTCATTGGCCAGCCGGCCAGCAAAGGTGCTCTTGGATGTTCTGGACATGTGGCGGCCTCAGCTCCGCCAGCAAAGCCAGTCATAGCAAGATGTGTGAAGAGTCAGCTAGCTAGGATCCTTTAGCCTCGAGACACGACGGTGCCGTGTGCAACGAGAAATCCAAGGGTGCTGGAGACCAGCAAAATGCAGCAATGACATGTTCGAGTATCCCGCAGCTGAGGCGGTGCCACGCGGACATGGCTGTGCAGAGAAAAGCTCAAGACGACGATCTTGCGCCTTTTGCCAGAGATGTATGCAGCTCAGTAAACTAGAAAAGAACACGGCTTCTTATCACCAGGTTGTCGCGGGCACTGGCCGGCCGGAAGTCACGGCAAAGATCTGGCCTTGTTCGGAAGCTTTTTTATCTGAGAGACACTGGAAGCAGATGGCGCGAGAAGTGTAGTGCAAGCGAAGATGATGGACACCGTGTGCGTGAAAGTGCTTCAAACCCTTTTCCAGCTGCCTGAGGACCCGGTGACCACGACTGTCACGGGGCCTCTTCAAGGTCAGGGAGAGGAGGACTCGGCGTGGAAGTCACGAGCGTCCGACCTGGTCATGGAGTCGGAGATCTGGTGGACTGTCCTTTTTCGCCAGCATTCGATCTACACCATGTTGTCGAATGTGCTGAAGGACTGAGTTCTAGTGTGATTCTTACGTGGATCTCTCTTCATGTTGTGCAGCCAGGCACCCAAGCTGCCCGTATCTCTCGGCAGGAGCACTTCGAAGTTCAGGGACTTCAAGGGTATCTGGAACCTTACGAGATGGGCCAGCAGATGGGAGACGCAGACGAACTGAGCGACAGCCGCCTCGAGTGAAAACATGAACCTTTTACCAATTTTGCGATAGAGACACTTGATCGCTAGCTCGTGCTCAGTCGAAGTGAAGTTGGCTCAGCCAGGTTATGACTGGCTAGAGGATGCAGCGATCTGGTGCAGCGCGGTGGTGCTGCTTTGCCTGCTGGCTTGGCTTGTCTTTACTTGGTATCGTGGAGATGCTGCACTTGGACCTCCACGTGACTTGTGCTGTCCGATGTCGCTAGAATTGTTCACAGATCCTGTGGTGGCTGCGGACGGTGAGACTTACGAGCGCCTTGGCATGATTGCTCGAGCAGCTGCTGCAGGAAAGTGGCATTGACCTCACTTGCTCATTTGCCCTAGCTTTTCACATGCATCCCATCTCGAGGCGGTGGTGGATCGAAAAATGGATCCTCGAGAAGTCACCGGAAGTTAGACCTCGACAAGGCACGGGTGTGATCTCGCCGATGGGCCATGGCATTCTCAGCCATACGAAATTGGTGAGCAATCAGACAGTGCGCCGATTGGCCAACCAGTGGCGGGAAAAGAACGTGAAGATGGACTGACTGGTGTTGGAGGGCTCCACGGCTCTGCAATCCCAGAGCTTGCCGGTTCACCGTGCATCTCATGATCTCATCAGCCACCTGTGCATGAGATTCCTTGAGACTGTCCAAGGCGTTCGTACCTGAACAAAGCCCCCTGTGCGTCGCCTGCCTTCGACACACACACACACACACACATATATATATATATATATATATACAGATATATATAAGAAGCAGAAGGCATGTGGCATTTGTGATATCTCAGAAACGACAAAAGCTTCTCTCAATAAGTGTACACTTGTTTCTAATTCTGTTTTCCCAAAATTTGATTGTTCTCGTCGTTCTCGTGCACCGTTAACGCTACTACACGTTGCTGTGGGGCATTCGTGGAGCAGCAAGGTCGGATCAAGGATGCATGGGAGCGAAACATGTATGCGGGCAGCACCTGCGCACAAGGAGCTGCAATGAGACTGAAGCAGGTAAAGCAAAGCTAGAATTGATGCAGCTTCGTGTTTATGGCCATGGCGGCCCCGAGCGGCCAGGGCCGCTGGATGCAAAGTGCTGTTGGCTTTGGGGGCTATCCGGCGACTTGGTTTCCCAAGGCAAGACGGGTTGGACCGACAGATGGCATAGTTAGAGGGCGGGTATGGAAAACGCGGTGTTGGGCTTCGAGAACGTCGGGCAAAGGAGGTGACCAGTGTATGTGTATCTCACCAGGCCCTGATTGCCGTGGAAGAGCTCAGCTCACTCACAGGATCTCCTAGCGTTCCCAAGTTGAGCTTCCCCTGTGCTCGCCAACATCTTAAGCGCGTGGGTCGACTGATACATGGTTTTGGGAGATGTCTAGTCCAGTCTTCACCCTGATTCCACTTGAGCAGCGCGCCTTGGTTTAGGAAGGCCGAATGCGGCAGAAATTGCACTCAGGAATTTCAGAACCGACGGCTCCAGCACAACAAAGAAGAACACGAGAAGCCGAAGTCCTGCGCAGACTGGACTCTGGAGCAGACACGTCAGAAGTTGCAGCAGGATCTCGCGCGATTGAGGTGTCTGCATGTTGCGATGTGCATAAACGTGCCGTGAGACTTGTCTTCTAACAGCTTGGCACGGTAGCTCCCTGAGGCTCTTCCATGAGGTGATGTTACAGCTTCACAGGGGCGATTTCAAGCCGCTTCCTGGCGCTGCTTCTGGGAAGGTGACCTCCAGGGCCTCGGGAGGTCGCGTGCCCCGAGTGGAGCTGCCAGAACTGCATGGAAGGCTCAAGGCCCGGCTATTCTATGCTTTAAGCAATTCAAAGCTCCCGGTAGTGTCTGACGGACATTACAAAAAAGGGAGTTCAACGTTGGCAACAGCACTCGACGGGCCACTTCAAATCACATTGGTGTTGAGCATTGGGGACGTGCGCCGGGGAGACAGCACAAACTGCACAGAAGTTCCTTCAGTTCCGTTGCTGACCGTGTCTTGTGCCAGGCTGGTGGCTGGCAAGGAATGACGCAGCCTCTGGTTTTTGATCGGCCTCCTGATCTCTGCCCCTGTTACACAACTCGTGATGCCTTGCTGTCCGAGGAAGCGGTGGGTTGTGTGCATGCAAAGTTGCACGGATTTTGAAGGTCAAGGTTGATAAGGGGTGCATCTTGTGGCATGCCTTGCAAGGCTCGGGCCACGGCCGGATTTCCAACAGCAACAGTTCTCAGCGATCCTCTTGCAGCGCAGTTTGGGCCGTCAATGCTTGGCGATGACCGACCGTTCCAGGAGGCTTCTGGCAAGGGGAATTGCTTCACACAGCTGACAGCCGGCAGCCTTTCACCAGGCACGGTTCCATGGGACTGTTGGCAATCCATTCCTGAGTGGATGCGCTGTTCCATGGTGGTGGTGTCAACCGGTCCAGGCGGAAACGGGGTTGCCTTCCACAAACATGGAACGGCCTGGCTTGCACTTCAAGAGGGCCGGAAAAAGTGGTGGCTCTATCCCCCCAGCGGTCCCCCGACAACGGAGGCCTACGAAGCACTAGCTCTCTGCCCAGCTGCCGAATTGTCGGAGGTTCTTCAAAGACTTCCACCGGAGCAGCGGCCGCTGGAGATACTACAGCATGCTGGCGAATGCGTTTTCGTACCGGCTCTTTGGTGGCATGCCACCTACGACGAAGTACCAACTCTTGGCATAGGCTCTCAGTTTAGCATGGCGGAGGTTGACGTCCTCAAGTGTCAGCAGCAGTACCCGCAAAGCGCGTTTGCCTTGTACCACGCTGCTTGTGAGATCCACAAGACGGAGGAGAAGAAAGCAATGGAACTCTTTGAAGCTGCGATTGAACGTGAGCCTTTGAACTTCTACTTCGCTACAAACCAAGTTCTGTTTTACCTCAACATGGTGTTTCATCCGCGTCTTACGATTTCGATAATCAAGCGTCTTCTGGGACGAATCAAGCAGCTCGACCGACGCCGACAGATGATCGTGCAACGATTCTTTATTCCCACAATCTGTAACTTCGTTGAATGGCACGTGCCTCACGACCGCCTACTGAAATATTCTGTGGAGGCAACAGGCTTCGCATTGGAATCTTTAGTCTCGCTGCTGCAGCCATTGCTGCCGGGAGGTGAGGACTTTCGGCTGGGAAACGGATTGCCTTGGAATCTGGTCCACCTCTTGGAATATCCCTCGAAGTGCTTTCATTGTGGTGTAGTTGCACCCGGGAAACCTGGAGAAGCTGGCAGTGTTCGTGCCCACCGTTTCTTCTGCCTGCGCTGCACAGCAGCACGATCTGCAGCTTGCTGCCGGCATTGTGGTGCAGTTGACGTTGCAGGACAACTCGGCAGGCCAGACTCTGCCTTCGCGCAGAGTTGGTACTGCTCATCTTGCTGGATGGCCTGCAAGACAGGAAGCGACTTTGCACCGGCAAAGACTAGGCATCTCTTGTATGGTCAGGAGCAAAAGCTTCTGGCACAGGTTTGGGACATCGCGGATTAGCGCAGGAATCGACCAAAAGAAAACGAGACTTGATTGTGAAGGCGACGACTTCGGAATGCTGCACGCTTGTGAGGAAGCTGTGCTGCGGAGTGATCTTGTGGCCAGGTCCAACTGAAAGGCTCCGCGGAGCAGATCCGCAAGGCTGCGTTGAGCGCCTTCGACAGTCGTGACTTTTCGACATTCGAAACGCTCGGAATCGGATCGCATCGTTTGTTGTTGTAATTCCTGCACAGGTTCGATAAAACTGCCAAGCATGCTATCAACAGTTTGTTGTGGATCGGCCTTGACAATTTCCTGCCGGCACGTTCTCTGAGCCGTTTCAGGGACATGCAGGAAATGATCCTTTGCAGGCACAGCGCTTGCTCCAGCGTGTGCTCATGCACTGTGCTGCCCCGAGAAGGGAGACCGTGTCTTCATAGTGCTCGCGGCTCGCGTGGGAGCGGCCCGAGGCAACTGGGGGCGCAGCGAAGCAAAGGTCCGGCGACTACTGAAACCGAAGCCTTGAGCCTAGACGTCCTACACTTCTGCCGAGCCTGTCCGTAGATGGGCTTTGGAAGTCCTGTCCCTGAGGATTATCGAGTCAGCCGTTCTGCGGCTGTCGCCGATGAATACTTTGCCTGCTGGACAGAAAACACTCAGCCAGACACAGACGGAACCTCAGAGAAAAGCTCAGACTCTCGCAGCTACTGGGTTGCTTTGAGAGGCCTGTGATTTCGATCGGTGGGAAGCCCAGTGTCTGCCCATGCTGCAAGATGCTGCAAGTAAGCACACGTGATGACACTGGCACATTCATCGATGCCGACGTTGGCAAAGGGCAAAGATGCCGGGTCCAGTGGAAAGAGCAATCGCTTGGCACTTTAGAGCACTCCGAAAGTCCAATTCGTGAGATCTCGGACTTCCGGTGCGAGATTTTGACAGGCACACGCGTCGTTGTCCATACTAGTCTTCAAACTGCCCACCGATCTGTGAAGCAGGTTGGCCTGCCCTGCAAAAAAGTTCAAACAGCAAGAGGCAGACCCCCCTGGCTTGTGCAGTAGAGAGCCAAAAGTGGCCACCCATGCCTTTCAGTGTTGTGCAGGGTTGTAAGCCTTGGCCGAAGTGTCCCAACCAAGGCAAGGACAAAAAAATCAACGACATCGTGATCCCTGCAGCCATTGTCTCGCGCCAGGCTGGTGTTCGAGTTATGCGCTTGTAGGGAGTGAGAGGCTTTGATCTGTCTTGGCTTCGACAGCACTGTGTCCTCGAGCTGGACATCGACCGAGGCGCCATATACGTGCGGGGCTTGAACTGCTGGGCCACTCGTTGCCTTGCAATCAGGAGCTTTAAAGACCTTGTATTCGGCTCTTCAGCATGATGTGGCAGGAGCTTAGGGGATGTTTGCCTCGCGCCGCCAGAGATGTGAGGCCGAGCAGAGACCGCCTCGGCCTCGGCCCCAATACGGGGCAGCAGCCAAAGCGGCGAATCTGCCTGCGCTGAGCATTTGCCGCTTGGAATCACCGGAAGAGATCTTGAAGAAACTTCGGCAACATGCAGAAGATCCTGCGATGGCCGAGTTCACTTGCCCGATTTGCTGGGAGCCCTTCTGGCAGCCAGTGCGGACTGTGTGTGGGCATGCCTTTTGTGAAGGTTGCTTGTTGAAGTCTGTGCTGGCACAGCTGGGTTACGATCAGCCAGACGTGTCCTGTCCAATGTGCCGGCATCCGCTGCATGTAGAAGATGTAGCTGCCGACGAGGCACTTCTGGCCCGAATCAGATTGGTGGTGGCAGAGAAAGCCAGGGAATCAGAATCTCAAAGCAAGGGGCACCCTGGCCGACTGTACCGTGGATCGACTCGATCTCCCATTGCCGAACAGACTCCATCAAACCCCCGATCGCTTCATTGCACTGGGCAGCCTTGCACGCCTGCATTGCTCGAGTGGCCAGCAAGAGCTCAAAGCTCAGGTGCACACAGGACGCAATTCCCAGGAAGCTGGATGAGGGTGGCCCCCTCTGATTCGAGGCCTGCGACCTCTGGCTGTGTAGTCGCTTCCCATAAGAGCGCTTTCTGGTCGCAGAGCTTTTCCGCCCGTCCCTCAACATCGGGAGTCTCTGAAGTATGGGGGGCCCGAAGTGAGGCACAGGAGGAAACGGTGGCCACTCCACTGTGGCCAACTTGGCCGGCCCCTGCGAGATTGCAGGCGAACCTGGTGAGTGAGGTGAGTGAGGGCGACCGCGATCGCTCGGATCGAGACAAAGGTGGTGCAGTTTCGGATCGACTTCACTCTTTGGCAAAGCCGCAGACCCCTCGAACTGCACTTCACAAGCAACGACCCAGGTCCCAGCCGTCGAAGCAAGGAAGCCGTCCCAGCCGCATGCTGCCACATCCCCCAGAGCTGCCGACTTACAGGGCTCCTCTAAGCTCGAGGGGCCCGAGACCGAAGAGGCCGTGCTGTGAACAAAACCACGGCCGTCGCAAAGATATCTAAAGATCTAAAGATCCCTGCCTAAGCCTAGTCCTTTTTTCACCACGTAGCGACTTGTGCTGACAAGCGCGCGACTGCCTGCAGGACTCAAAGTCGCTTCCAGACAGCGGTGCCCGTGAATGACACAGCTTCGCTGCCGCAGGCAGGCCGAGGGCGGAATCGCGAAGTTCCGCCAAATTATGACAGAGAATTCCGGATATCATGCATCAAGTTTCTTTTGGGTCGCTCTACTCCGGGGTTGGTTGATGTGAGGATGTGTGAGTTGGTGCTTTGGATGTTGGCATGAACTCTCTTGCCCAAGGAACGGGTGCTGTGCTGGGAAGCTGGCTGACTGTGAGGGCACATCCATATCCGAGCTTGGATTGCAGTACAACACAAACAAACGACTCACGAAGCAGTCACAGTTTGTGGCTTAGCCCATGCTTGTAACATGCAGGCCTGTCGTGGAGCGTCTGGGCTTTGGATCGTAGAATAGCTTCTGTTGTCCACATGCCAGCATCACTTTCGCGCAGCGCTCCGGGCACGGGTAGGAGCTGGAAAAATGAGCCAAGGCAGTTTTTGGTGGAAGATACGGCTATGAAGTCTTGCTTGCTTTCGTGCGCATATTGTTTTGTGCATGTGGCTCCAGCCAGCATAGTGACCGAAAAAAAGGCTCTGTGTCCCAAAGGGAGTGGGCCTGACGAGGGAGCAAGCTTTCGAAGAAAACAAGCCACCTTGCACGCATTGCAGACTTGCGGCCTTCAGGTGCGCCCCACGAATTAGCATGAAGAAGATGATGCTTGTTACCGATAGAGATACAAGAGAGATTTCTGGAAGTGAAAACTGTGCTGCAGATGGGAAAATGGACAACCAGTGAGGAAGAATAATTCCTTGTTTTGTTCCAGTGCGTCCGGCCTGGAGGCGGAACGTTTAAAGAGTTCCAAGGCTTGGCTTGGTCCTGGGTCCTAAGGTCATTGACTGCAGCACAAACGGCACATTCCTGAATGGCTTGCGGCTGCCGCCGAAAACCACAGGGAAGGCACCGTTGAGTGACGGCTGCCTCTCATTGGCCGAAACTGAGTCTTTTGGCTTGCCATTGCAGACCTGTAGAAACAAAACTTCATGCTGACTTCAGAAGTTGTTTCCTGCAGAGGTGCTTGTCTCGCACGGAGACGAGCTCCTGCTACAAGACCCGGCCAATGACCAGGAGTCAGCCACTCTGAAAACTGGGACCACATGCGCTGAGACACCGACAGCATGTGTCCAGTCTCTCGTGCCTAATGAGGTTCGGATATGTTGTGAATATCCAAGAGCTGAATGTCCGAGAGCAGACGAAGCTGCAGGTTGGACTGCCGCAGCTATCGGGCTTTGTCTCAACAGTCGGTGCTTGCCAGGCTCCACGGCGTCTTCTCTCCACCGAGGAGTCCGGCAGCCGAGTTGTAACAGCCTCCCATCTCACCATACGTTCCATTGCTGAAGCTTCCCATCAGGTCTTCAACCATGGGCCGTGACTTCTATTGAACCCTTTGCGCGTCTTACACACCACAGCAACATGTGCGATGGACAAAGAAGTCATACATCAGTATATCAGCACTCGTCCTAACACGCGAGCCTCGAAAACAAAGGATCAGCATCTTTCCTCAAAGATTATGGCTGTGTAGCCGCGACCTCCGCATGAGCCGCGCATGACGAGGTATAAGAATATGCTCCGCCTGATGCCGAATGCATGGCTAGTGAGGACAGCTGCAGCAGGAACTTGATTCACCGGGTTCATCCTCTTTGTTGACGGTCGGCTCAATTTGATTTGAACTAGTGGTGCCTCAGCTGCTCGCTTACCGGCACCTGACAAGTCAGACTCGGTCTTCACATATCTAGGGGACATATGAGGAGGCCCGAGCATGCACTATGCTCCTTCGAACTTCAAGCGCATTCGAACCCCTCGGGCATACTCTCACCAAGTGCATGAAGTCCAGATTGTCTTGGCTTTCGGTTCTGACATTAGCTTCCGAAGCCATTGCCGGCAAGGCAGGGTGCCAGCGTTGGTCGTGGCACTTTTCTGAATTGCACGTTTGTGGTGTGTGCCAGTGCGTGGTACTGGATGGTGATGGATGGACGAGCAACCAATATGCCTGTGTTTGCAGGCCCATGGCAGCGGATGCCGCAAGAGATGAGGTTCAATGAGTTGAGTGTAGGCGATCAAGTGTGTTCTTGCTTGGGGTTTGCGGCCCCAGGCCATGGCCTTCGAGACTTGTGTGGCCCAAGGCCGCCTGCACCTGAAGGGTTCCTACTAGATGCTCCTAGGGGTGGGGGTTCAGGCTCCAGCTCCTATCAAGAAACTGAGCTGGACCATTCCGAGCGTCCTGGCTGCACGGCTGCACATGCGACGGACTGTGAAACGTGCGGTCGCACCCAGGGCTCGGTCGAGATGGTGCTGCTTGAGACAGAACCTGCCCGCAACAGTTTGCTTAGTGATGATTGGTGCAGTCAAGGCTCGTTTTAGTCGCTTCCGCGTTGTACAGCTGCCGGAGAAGTCCACGCATGGTGCACACTGCAGCGCAGGTGGCTTGCACAAACGCCTGGCACCTAATCGCCTCCAACAACTAAGCCAGTGGCTTGTGGATGGTTTTGGGCTTTGGGTCTTGCGCTGTGGTCCCAGGTGGGCAACTTTTTCAGGTCTTTGCTGGGGTCTTTCTGGCAGAGGCTCCTCGATCGGAAAAAGCCACTGCAGCGGAAATGTTTCGGGCTTTGCAGGTCGCCGCTACTTAGCCTGCCGGTGTCCAGCCGGGACACAGACTTTTCAGGCGTGGTTCTAGGCCCCCAGGCCGCGGCAGCGGAAGAACCTTCGCTCTAGCTGTTGAGGTCCCAACACTGCTGGAGAAGTTTCGCCAGAGGAGATCTCGCCTCGGCGGGCGCCTGCAGCTAGCCCGCAGGAGACGAGTGGGGCATCCTCGGAGCCGGGGCCGCCTGGAAAGACGCTGATAGCTGGATTCTATCTGATACCTGGCCAGTTCACATACACATGTGACAGAGAGCTTTTTCTCAATTTTTCTCATTGCACTTTTTTTCTCTGCGGATGTGAGCTCTTAAGGAGCGACTGGCAGCTTCCTCCTGGACTCGGCAACAGGAACTTAGATGAAGTGGTTGCCGAGGTAGAGAGATCTTGTACCAGAGTTGGGCCTATAACTCGGCAGCAAGCTCTGCGACTAGTTATAGGCATGGGCTACAATGCAGAAGCAGCCGTAGACAAGTGGCGAGACGTGGTTTCCTGGAGACGGGAGCATCACATGGATGCCGTTCGCGTACGCCTTCTTGGTGCAATGTGCAGCCAACACCCAGTGCGTTTTTCACACGAAATTGACGTGTACAGCAAGCTATTTCGTGGTTGTCCATGTGCCCTTTTGACTGCGGATGGCCGCCCAGTTTCAGTATGGCACGCTGGTGCCGCAGATATGGGACGGGTGGGTGACTTGCCGCCAGATCATTGCCGGAGATGGAGTCAGGAAGTTTTTGAGTACGCCGACCTGTGGATTGCAAGAGAGACTGAGAGGACCAGATGCCTCAGTGGCTACCTCCAAGTCTATAACATGCAGGGCCTGAGCCTGCGACAGGTCACTTCTCCGGAAGTGAAGGATAGACTGAAGGCTGCTCTGTCTGCGGGCGGCTTCTATGTTGAGGCAGTGGCACACATTTACGTGGTGAACGCTTCGCGGCTCTTCTCCATGGCGTGGAAACTTATTCGTGGTTTTCTCTCCCCGTGGACGGCTTCGAAGATCACAGTTTCCAGCACAATTCCAGACGAGCTCATCGCAACCTGGCAGCTTCTGGGAGGTTGTGTCTTGTCGGCTTCGGTGTGTCCTTGTCAAAGGCTTGTTGCATGACCTGCGAGGCAGACTTGGGAGGACCCGCTTCACAGTCTTCGGAGAGCTTGTACAGGCTGCTTGCCGCGGCTGCTGATTCGACCAGTACGGAGCCGTGTCTGGCACGGGTGCAGCGACCTGAGAACTCCAAGAGGGCCTTGGAGGAAAGTGCCAGCACGGCGGCAAGCACGGGATGCGACGGCTTCGAAGCGACGGCTGAAGCGCTCCTGCACTCGAGCGAGGAGGCTTTAGAACCAATTCCAGATATTCCCGGGGCCTTGCATGTCGCCGGGTTCTTCTTGCGACCTGACCAACTCCCACCTGGTTTGGAGGATAGGGATTTGGAGGCTCTGGTTGAGGAAGTGCACGAAGCGTGCTCACAGGTGGCATCCATCTCCAGGCAGCAAGCCTTGAGGCTGACACTGGGGATGGGCTACAACCCACATGCCGCTCTCGCGAAATGGAAGGAGGTAGTGGAGTGGCGAAAAGCCAACAGCATGGATCTTGTCCGCCAGGAGCAGGCAGACAACATGCGCGACACAGGCGACGTGAGTTTCCCGCATCAGGAGGAGGTGTTTGCGAAGCTGGTGTGTGTTAGCCCATGTGCCTTCTTCGCAGCAAATGGCACGCCCGTGTCAATTTGGCACGCTGGAACATTGAACGTAAGTGCAGCGGCTTCCTTGCCATCTGAGAATGCCTCTCGCCTGCACTTTAGATATACAGCGGAGAGTGTCTGGATCGCCACGGTGTTCCTAGGTGTGACTTGGGCGACGTAGCCCGTTGAAGCTTCAAGTTTTGCCAGTATGGCGTTATGGCACCTTCTTTCTTCAAATGGCACCAAGCACTGAGCCACTACCCGTAGCAGTGAAGTCTGGAGCTGTGAAGACCCCGCCTGGTGCAAAGACTGGAAGCCAAGCTTGCCTCATGCTGAATGCCCAAATGTTCAAGGATTTGTCAAGGGGGCCAGGTCGGTGAAAGGTTTCACAACACAGCAAGGCTTAGGTAGGAAGGAAAAACAAGTAGGATGTCTTGCAGTAGGCCGACTGCCATTCGACTCGTCTCCTTGTTGCGATCCCGAGGTGGCGCGATGGAGCCGCGCAGTGTTTGAATACAAAGACCTTTGGATCAGCCGACGCAGTGAGCAGCACAAAAGGCTTCTGGGATACATTCAGGTGTACGACATGCAAGGATTAACCTGGCGGCATTATTCGTCGCGGGAGATTGCAGACAAGCTGAAGACGGCCTTGCAGTCTGGGAGCTTCTATGTCGAAGCAGTCAGCCACATGTACGTCATCAACGCCTCCAGGCTCTTCTCCATGGTCTGGAAGGCCCCTTAACCACTTGCGGGATAAAGCTACTTCAGGGGTCCCTGCAAGACTTTTGACTCGTGCAAGGTGGTTCGCAATCTAATTTCTCCGTGGACCGCCTCGAAAATTTCTGTCTCCAGCGGAGTTCCAGATGACCTCATTCACAGCCTAGGCTGGGCTCGTGGTCAAGTTCTATTGAAGTATGGCTTGAGAGAATTCGCCGATACAACCACGCTCTTCTTTCTGGCCCGTGCTCAGGAGGGCCCACGTCGTCTGCCGCACGGCGCTTCCAGCAGCTCATAGCCAGGCATGGGTAGCGGTGCAGGCCTCTTGAAGCACATGGCTTGGTTTGCCGCAGGAGCCCGGAAGAGGCGGCGAAAGTGACAGCGGTTCTGCGGCCTCCTGGGCAGGTTCAGATTCTAGCTTCGTGGCAACTAGCTGCGTTTATCTCCTTACCCTGCAGGTTCCGGAGCCCATCTCACCCACTTCACCTTTGGCCAACTGTTCTGTCGCCACAGAACTGGGCTCACTTCAGTCTGAGCTCCTTGGGCGATAAGCTAGACTCAGCCAGGTCTAGAAGAAGGTCCTCCTCAGCGTGAGCTGCTGAACCGAGGTGCGCTGGTGCGCCCAAGCCCGCGCTCGACATCGAGACAGACATAAGCTCTGCAAATCTGGAAGAGCCCGTGTCTCCCGGAACACGTTGTGTTGCTGGATATTTCTTAGAGCGGAGCCAGCTACCGCCTGGCTGGGAGGGCCACGACTTGAACGCCCTTGTTGCAGAAATCCACGGCACATGCTCGCACATCTCGCCGTTGACAATGCAACAAGCGCTTCGTTTGATGCTTGGCATGGGCTACGACCGAGTCGCTGCAGTTTCCAAGTGGCGTGAGATCGCCACCTGGCGCGACACTCATGGCTTAGAGAACATCCGGGCTCAGCAGGTGGCTGTGCTCGAGTCGACAAAGCCTATCTGCTTTCCTTTCCAGGAGGAGGTTTACACCAAGTTCTTGAAGGTCTGCCCCTGTGCACTCCTGGCTTCGAACGGGGCTCCAGTGTCCGTGTGGCATGCCAAGACTCTGAACTCCAGTGCTGTAGCTGAGCTATCTGCCGCGGACATATCCTCTTGGAGCCACGCAGTCTTCGAATACAAGGACGTGTGGATTTCGCGCGAAAGCGAAGAAAGAAGACGGCTCATCGGATACATTCAAGTCTACGACATGCAGGGTGTTGGCCTGCGGCACCTGACCTCGAGAGACATCGGCGAGAAGTTGAAAGGCTGCTTGCAGCCAGGTTCTTTCTACATGGAGGCAGTTTCACACATGTATGTCGTGAACGCTTCAGCTTTGTTCTCCATGGCTTGGAAGGCGGGGTCGCAGTTAACACGATTGTTGTATGATGTAGTCATCACGCTGTTTAACTCATTCGTGACGAGGTGATTCGGAACCTGATTTCTCCGTGGACAGCATCAAAGATCACCGTTTCGAACTCCATCCCCGAAGAGACTTGTGCTAAATTGCCTTGTCGGTTTCGGGTACCGCTCTGAGCCGAGGAGCTGCTTCGTGACTTGGGTGGGCCCGATTCGGTGGCGTTTGGAGTGCTGAAAGAGATCCTGGCTGCAGAAGGAGATGACCTTGGCTTCGCTCTCGGTTTCTTTTAGAACTTCAGGCGTCTTGCCGCGACACGGCCTCGCCGAGGTCGATTTCCGGTCATGCGCCCATGCACGGCCATCTGATTCTGCCGTCCTGGCCTGAGGTGGTCGTGTGCATCTTGCACTCCTGTGTTCTCGGCTCAAGACCAGGCCAAAACTTCCTTAAGGAAGTCCAACTCGCCTGTTGAACGCGTCCTTCCGACAAGCACGTGCTCACGTGGCGTATTTGGCTTCTGGCGCATCGAGAGCTGCCCTGCCGCTCCGGAAGGCGAATGTAAGACATCATCCAACCCAAGGCATTCACACTCGGCTCGGGTTCGCTCCGCTGTTTGAGCTCGTGGTTGGGACATTCCCCAAGATCGTGACTTGCGCTTCGTTGGAGTCCGTCTGCAGGAGGTGTGCGTTTGTCGTCATGCACTATGGCACTCGCCTAGGGGCCTAGCTGCCGAGCTGAGACAGCAAGTATCTCAGCTAGACGAGTGCCATGAGTACATGGCGACACCACCACTTAGGCTTAAAACAGGAGGCCCCGAACGAACTCCTCGCTGCCTTCACAAAATTATATCATCGTCATTTGGTGCACTATGAATTTATGGTGTTGGCTCGTGAGTCGGGCTTGTGTCTGTGAGTTGGGACGCGCTCTGGCTCTATGAGGTGGACGTGGCTAGTTTCACAAGTCAACGCCGGAGCTTGACTGCTCTGTACTTTTTTTGATTGTATTTGATGTTCGATATCTTTGGGCCGGGTCTTCTTTTGAAACCGCTGAGCAACGACTCTGAACACTCTCGCTCGTGGTAATCATGTGATGACTGGGGCCATGGTCGTAGTGAGTCGGATTCGGTCTGTTATACCAGCTTCCCCAGTCGCTGCAGCGGAGATAGAACTATGCGGAGCCTTGCCTGCGTGTGTGAAAGTCGAAATGAAATTATATGAAATGATCATCATGTGGAGGATTTGCCTTCGCAGTGCAAAACATGCGCAAGATGTTGTCAGAATGGAGAAAGACATGCGACATGTGCTTGCTTGTTTCCGAATGCGCTGCGTCATGTCAGCATTCTGTAGTGGCAGACATGTGCAGCTAAGGCAGGCATGAAGAGTATTGATCACGTTGCGCTGAGCACATACCGCGTGCTGTCGAAGCAGCTGCGATCCAGTGCACCATTCACTGGATGCACAACATGTGCCAGTTGGTTCTTGCGATGCCTTTCGTCGGCATCAGCAGCAGGTTTCACTGCGTGCGCACTTTGTTTAGATCTCGTCCGGCCAATGTGCGACCTGCGGCCCCCCGGAAGGTCGCAGAATGCCTGTTCACAGGCCGCCGGCGTGTGCAGTCTGCAACTGAAGTTGCTAGGCATGAATTTACCACAAGTTCACCAGCCTGCTCTTGAGATTGCATGCGCCGATAACTGTTGCCAGAGCAGGCCACATTACGATGCATTGCCACGCATGCACGCACTTGTTTTTGCTGCTGCGTAGTTGCAGGCAGACTAATGCAGGCAACAGTCCTGCACTAGTCCCACCTGTTGCCAAAGCCCCGCGGCACACTTGCAAGGTGATCGTTGACTTGTCAGGCGCAACTTGTTCAACCCCTGGAAATGGAGCATGTTCATTGGCTGTTGACGCAGCCTGAGGTGTGACCACGCGGCTGCTTAAGCTACTTCTTGCTTGACTCCGTGTCACCTCATTTTGCTTTGGACATGAGATGTCCCTTATACAATTTCAGCTACCAGTAGAAGCCTGAGAAGGCAGCTTGTTGAGGCCATGCCCTGCGCAAGCAGCGAGCCTGCTGCGGGCATGCAGTCGCATGTGTTCTACATACATTGCAACTCGCAACTCCAAAGCCTGCAAAGTCTGATATCTGTATGCGACGGAGCCGTGCCACCCCGCCGCCTGCAACAAGATGTCGCCAAACCTGACGGTCTTGTGTCGGCAGTGCAAAGACTCGGTGCAGCTCGGCGAGGGCAAAATGCAGGGATATCCTGTGAAGCCAAAAGCAGACTGCTACTTCCAGGCAGCATTTCGATTGTCACCTGCGCTCTGATGCAGCTTCAGCCCGCGTTGGACACAGTTCTGCCGCGGAAGCGTGCTAAATTTGTCTTGAATTAGCTTGTGCCATATCATGGCGACCACGCCTGCCTGCTCGATTCAGGTCAAAGCAGCTGCCTCATTGAACATGTTGTCAATGCAGTCGTTACGGGTAGTAGGTACGCCGCGAAGCCATCACCCATTTCCACTGAACCTGCAATGGCGAAGACGGTGAAGGGCCACGAGAGAAATTGCCCCATAGGAGTACTTGAAATCATGAGCTCCTGGCTGATTTCCGCGTTTTTCCTCCTGTTGACGGAGGCACGACTGCTGCCATGAGCTGAGTGGGTGGGGTAATTTTAGTCACAGCCTCTCCATGTCTCGCTCTCTTTCTCTTTGTGCCAGGAGGCTGCGGCAGTTCCGTACTGCACTGCCATACAAGGCCGCTTACATGCAAGACGGCCCAGATGCAAGACCTTACTTCGTGCAATTCGGGAGGTCGGTAGAGTTGCAGCCTGTACACCTATCCCCCTACCTCAGTAGGTCGAAAAAGTTGCACCTGCGCCTGCCCAAAAGAGCAAAGTAGCTTGTTTTGTGTTTGCGTTTGCGAGGCCTTGTTAGTTGCACAGAGCACCGCACCAAAACAAACATGTACGAAGACATTCCGAGAAAGGAGACTCATTTATTGTCTGCATGTAACAGCAGCTGTTGCCATCACTGTTATGCGACATTCAGGTTCAGACGAGGAGGCCTTCCGTTGTGCCGCTCTCGTGACTGATGAGGTAAACACAAAATTTTTGATGCGATCTTCAAACAAGAGCTCCTGGGTCGAACACTTCGAACTGTACACGAATCTCAGCGCTGTGGTGCTGCAACCTCCCTGGAACGGCAGCGAGTGCAATGGTCATGCGGATGTTGAAGCATCGATACAGTACATGTCGGATGTTGTTCAGCTCAACCATGGACACTTTGCGGTCGGAACTGGCAACTGTGGGTCCTCATTCATGTCCACGAGGCTTTATTGTTTCCGAGGGGCAGGTGCGTCGAGCTCGCGATTATACATGTCGGTACAATCGGATGAAAACGCACAGGTGGTGGCATACATTCGGGCAAAGCCAGGCAAGAATGAGGACCACAAGAGGATATCCATGGATGTAGGTGGCAGTGGCGGCCGCAGTGCTTTTCACCTCTTTACGATTCCCGAAGATGACAAGCTTGACTTGTGGCGTTTGAGTATGACTGTGCGTGAAGAGTTCCGTTCACCGACCAGCGTCTATCATGCCTACATCATGCACGAGACATCGCCGTGTGTTTCCAAAGTGGTGACTTCTGGTGGCTGCTTTGACCCTGTCTTTATCTGGTCTTGCACTCAATCGGTTCCTGTGTCTTTCAGGCGGCCAACTGCTTTCGGGAATTTGCGCATTGCTATGAGCCTCAGCTTTTCCGAGTCCGCACGGATGACTATTAGTAGAGGCAGGAGTCTGGAAGCTCCGCTCTTTCCTTCCAGAGTTTAGTTTTAGGATCCGGGAGTCTCATGATCACTGTTTTGGGTTTGGAACATGAAGGCTCCCTCCCGCGACTTCGATCTGGCCGATGGATCCTCTTCGTGATCTGCAACATCGACAGTCAGCATCAAATGTGTCCCGAGGCCACCATTGACGTCAAGTTTTCCGCCGGGTACAACCAGAGGAGGAAGCTTTGGATAGGTGCTGCAATCATGATATTCGGTCCCGCTGCGATCCTCTTCGCGGTCAATGCGATGTACTGGCTGGCATATCTGTTTCTGTATACAATGAGCTCGCCTTCACTTCAGACACAGGACCGTTTGTGGCCTGTCTTCATGTCACTACCAGGCCGGATGCACCTTGACATGCTCCGCGAGAAAGTGCGCCTAATTTCACGGCCGATTCCCTTCTTTCCGGCACTGTTGGCCCTTATGATCGGGGTATTCTTGGCCACTGCGGCTCAGTTTGTCATAACGCATTATGGCTTGATGGTGCGCACTGGGAGCAGGGATATTTGCTTCTACAACGAGAAGTGCTTCTCGCCAGGTGTTATATGGGACATCCCATGGAACAACTTCTTGTCCAACCTTGCTTATTTCGTGGCTGGAGCTCATACCATGCTTCAGGCGTTCTTCGCAGAGGTCCGGTGCAAAAGTTTCCTGCGCCGCACCATGTCGGCATTGTACAAGCATTTAAACCTCCAGACCGAGATCGGTCTTACGAAGGCACAGTGGGTTCGACTTTTTGACAGCGTAGATCTGAACAAAAGTGGCTCCGTCTCCAGGCAGGAGTGGTATACACAATACGGACATGCGCTTGCCTTCGATTTCATCGACAGAAACCAAGATGGCCTTCTGTCTCGTGAAGAGTGGTCCAATGCCTTTGACCTGATGGACATAGAGGGTGATGGGTATTTGACAGAAGTTAAGTTTCAGACAACAGCATCTCAGATAGATCTTCGAGCCTTCTATGCAGTGGGCACTACTTTTGTTGCCGAGGGCATTGGAAGCATGTGCTACCATCTCTGCCCATCTGTTGAAACGTTTCAGTTCGACACTTGTTTCATGATCCCTATTGCAAACCTGCTGACCATCGCGCTTGCGGAATGGAGCGGGACGGAACTCGACACGATCTCGGCCTTGAGGTACTTTGTCTACATCCTGATGCATGGCCTCTTCAGTCAAAGGTTCGCTTTGCGTGTGTAGGATGCTGAGGGAGCTCTCCGGCGACGAGGCAACGCTGCAAAAGGATGCTTAAGTTTAAAAGTTGCTGTTTGGAAGTGGAGGAGCCGCCCTGGCCAAGGACACCAGTTTGGCTGATTAACTTTATCGGCACGTGGTACGACATAGATGTCTTCGACTGCGAATGGCTCTATTGGTTGTATTCCTTTCTGGTTGTGGTCTCTGAGCTGCAAAGGGTTGTCCATGATCTCCTCTAGCATCCCCTGGTTGTAGCGGGGTCCCGCGCCGCTCTTAGCTGTTTCAAAATGCAGTGTACAGCAGGTCTGGACCTTGGCAGCTGTGACTTCCTTGAACCGCGTCTTTGCAACGCCGAAGATCGGAAAACGCGGCACTTGGCTGATGCGAGCGCTGCAAGCGCTCATCATTCTGATGGTCTTGAGTCTCGGCTTGAGCGGTGCCCTCTGAACTTGTGGCAGGCCATGTCACCCACCTGCAGCCAAGGGTGGCATATGTAGACCCGAGCGCCACTTGGCGACATAAGAGTCTTGGACGTCGGTGGCTTCATCCAAACATCGACCTGCTCGGAAAGCTTCGCGGCCATAGTGTGCAAGAGATGCTCATGAACTCTTTTGTGGAGCATAATGCGCTGGGGAAGTCGGCACAGTCCACAGACGTAATTGTCTTCGGTAAGTGCTCAGGAGGGTACTGTACTCGTAGTTAATTACTGCGTAGCCTCCAAGCTGGCTCGGCCTTTCGCCAGGTGCGGCGAGGCCTCGGAGGGACCGCCAATACCTTCCTGCTGCTGTCCATTATAGTCATGATCGTGGTCGTCAGCCGGCAGATCTACTTGCAGGACCGTGCTGCCACCTTCTCCCCAGCGGAACCCATTCGCAATTGGTCCAGTGTCAGGACTTGCAGTTCGTGACCTGCGAGGACTGGTGATGTGAAAATCGGCCCCCTCTCATGGCCCACGTTTCGGCCTGTCTTGGAGTAGGGTGCGGATCAAGAGTGCCTTGCAGATGTGTAGTAGAGAGGTGAGTTGGCCGCGCAGGTTTCGGAGATTGGAGGACGCATAATCAAGTACAGCTACATGGCAGTCATGGTCTTCGTGGCGGTCACTTCAATCCATTTCTTCAATGAGAAGGTGAGGTTGTCGCAGGAGACTTTAGCCGGCTGCACCTAATTGAATTCGAGAGGGAAAAAATGAGAAGGTGCCGGACAAGGTCTTGTTCTTGTAATCTGCTCATTCCAAAGACCCTCCGCCACTGACTCGTTGCAGGTAGCCATCGTGGCCCCGGATGCGACACCAGCACAGAGCCATGACATCAACCAAAACTGTGTTTTCAACATTTTCGACTTGCGACTTGGATGCATCGTGCGCAGCAAGAGCCCATCAGAAGTAGCGCCTTGAATCGCCGGCTACGATTGCCTTGTGCCAGGCACGACTACTGGCACTTCCTATCCGCCGTGGCACTGGCACTGTTTGCAATGCTCCTTCTGGACATTCGGGTGAATTCGTGGGCCCGGAAGAACGGAATCCAGATTCTTTTCGAACAGCACCTTGGCTGATCAGTTGTCGCGCCGGGGCAGTAACTCTTTAAGCTAGCCACTAGTCAAAAGCCGTGTCCAAAATCAGAAGCTCCAGAAGTAGGTCTCCGTCGTCTCTGCTCGTGAAGCTGCAGCATGCTGCCGCTTATGCGAAGCTGAGGCCGGTCGACTACTCGTCGGCCTCTGATTCGGATCCGGAGTCCTCCGAGACTGAGGGCCTGGATCCTGAGACAGTCGCATCGGATGAGGGCTTTGAAGATCCCCGGAGCGAGAGCAAAATATATCGGCTCTAGGGCCCTAGCGGCCGAAGCAAAAAAAGATCCTGTGGGCTTTCACCTTCGCTGTACGAATTCAAGCCTCTGAATCCAGAGGATACCAATTTTTGCTTCATGCAGCCGCCCAGTAAGCCGCGGTGCTTTGGCTGCAGGCTTATCTGGGCTCTAGCAGGCTCGTCTTGACCCTGCGTGTACAGAAGGCCTTGCGACGTGCAGTTTCGAGGCCGTGACTTTGTCCAGCCGATAAAGGCCGGACAAACCTCCTTCTGCTTCGGGTGGGATAGAGCCGCAGCCCCTCCCGCTCCAACGAAACAGCTGGGGGCCCCGTTAAAGCACTGCCCCGCAGCCTGGTCCAGGTTAGATGCCTCCTGTTCAAGACTTAGGGTCCAGAACCGAGAGGTCAAGTGCGTAGCCACTGCGAGGAAAGTGCAGCAGAAGAATAGGATGGAAACACAACTTCTGAATCAATTTCACGACTGACACCCCCAACGATCTGCAAATCGTCTTAAATCGTGCGAAGGCTTAATAAGGATGTTATGTTCGATGAAGGGGTGGTGAACAATTATTTTCAATAGCACCACTCAGATCTGGGACAAAAAATTGACCAACGAAGTCGCTGTTACCACGCCAGCCCACCCAGGCCTCTTGTCGGAGAAGGACGTGCGTGTCTGCCTTGTCGGCGCAAGTGGCTCAAGCTTAAGGCTTGGAGCTGCTTCCCTCCGATTCCTTGTCGGAGAGCCGCTTGGCGCAAGAGTGCTGCAGGTGTTGCCACGGCCAAGCTTGAACGACGTGCATGTTACAGCATGTTTCATGCTAATTGCTAATCTGCTAATCCTGCTGAGTTGCGGAAGTTTAGACTTGCATGTCGTCAAGGTAGCCAGAACGTGCGGATGGCCATGTGACACCTCAGAATCGGACCCTCGGAGTCTCGGAGGGCGGACGGTGGATGCAAGTACTCCCCACTCGCCTTCGGCCTTTCCTCTTGGTACTCTTGCTCACGTACGCGCAGGAAGACGTGAATACAAGCAACGAAACCTTTATCTTACCCTATGTTGAATCACGGGTGGAGGCAATTCCAACAACAGTGCAAGCCTGTGGTGAACTCGTCTTTAGCGGGGCTAAGTCCTTTGATTCCCGGGGTGAACCGCTCCAATTCTTCTGGGGCTTCGGGCCTGGCACACCAAGCTGGTTTCGGACTCCTCGGCTGTCGACGCTTCTGGAAGAAGCCACAGCCACGAGTGCTGACTCCGTGGTTGTGAGCCCCTGGGTCCTCTCAGAAGCTGGTGCACGGCTAGGAGAGGAGCTGAGGGAAGGGGAGGTGCGCTTGGAGGTGAGGCTGATCGTTCGCAATGCCTTGGGCAACAGCACGGAGGCGGTGGTTTCTGCTGGCGTAGTGGGGTCCACAGCCCAGGCAGAGCCAGTGATTTTCCCAGTCGGTAGCAATGATATTCAGCTGAAGCACAGCGAGCGCTTGGTTCTGTCGGTGGTGACTTCGGAGGCACCCTTTGCACTCGCCTGCGCCTTGCGCGATCCCGGAAAGAGCGCAGGCCGGACCAACGTAACTTGGGAGTACCGCGGTTTTGGCCAGGCGTTCCGGACCCTGGAAGACCTTGCGACTTCGTTCCCGCTGATGCGAGACCTGTCGGAAGATCCCAACACCGTGGAGTTGGCACCGTATGCTTTGCAGCCCGGTAGTTTCCACCTGTTGCGAGCGGTGGCTGCATTTGATACCCGTCCCACTTTAGCTCCAAGAGCGAACGTGGTATTCAGAATTGCAGTTGAGTCATTGCCACCGCTTGAGGTGCACATCATCGGCCCAAGAGAGGCCTCGCAGTGCGGTTTTGAATTGGATGCCTCGCAGGTTTGGGACCCAACTCTGCCCAGCAGCAACCTTTCAGATTTTCTCTTCGAGTGGAGATGCTCATCCATCGTGCAAGTGGGCGAGCTTGACATCTGTGCGAACTTGCCTGGCTTGGGAGCTGCTGGCCCGAGGCTCACGGTTGGGCCTGGCCTGCTGCCTGGAGTGCACCGCTTCTCGGTTTTCGTTCGCCGCAAGACTGGTGGACCATCGGCGGTTGCCAGAAACCCCGTCAGGGTGCAGAATGCGTCGTTCGCCACGCTAAGCCTGAAATTCCCACGCTACGCTTACACGGGGAAGTTGAATCTCACGGATGGCATCCCTCCGGTAACCGGTGTCGTGGATGCAAGTGGCCAAGCTGGTGTGGGATGTTTGGTTCCGGAGGTTCATTGGCAATGGGTTCTTGTCGAAGATCGCCTGCTGCCCAGACTCGATCGTATTCTCCCAACCAGGGCCGAAACAGTGGGCAACATGCTGGAACTGCAGTCTGATGTGGGCGATGATGGGCTCTTGCTTCCAGGTGTTCCGTATTATCACGTCCTGCTTCAGTCTGATAATCAAAGCACCCTGGCCGCTGCAGTAGCAGGCGTCCTTGACCGGCCTCCGCTAGAGAATGTCTTGCGCAACGGCGTGGTGGCTGCTATCATCTCCCCAAAGTTTCTCGCAGAAGAGCCACCCTCCGGTGGCTCCATCACCGCCGGGAACCGAGAGCCAGCAGCCCCAAAAGCACAGCAAACCACGTCGAGACAGAGCCTTTGAACCTCAGCCTTTGAACCGTTGAGCCTTTCAGCTCTTGCGAGGTCCAACCCTCCTTTCAGGGCCTCTCCCTCGGGTGGGGCCTTCAGCTCTCCACCTTCAGCTCTCCCCCCACCCCTTTCAAGCGCTTTCGCTTTCACTGAGGACCACTTTTCTGGTGGAGACCAGCATGTGGCCCTCCACTGAGCCAAAAAACCCCCCAAAGCTTCGCCATGACACTCTCTCGTCTCTGCTGCGAGGACCGATGAACGGCCGGCAGAGCTGGAGTATCAGTTCGTAGCTTTCCCACTCCAGGACTTGAAGCATCTCATGCTTTTCTGCATTCTGTAGCTTGGCCACAGATCTGACTGTAGTGTGGCCAGGAGCTGCCGCAAGGCCTTTGCGAGTCAGCTACTTCTTCTTCTTCTTCTGTACGTCTGTGCTGCTGGTTGTTGTTGCTTCTTGTTCTCGTTGTCGTGGCTTTCCGAAGCTTGTACAATCCAAGCCCTCGACCCTTTTACTGTGAGACGACGTGCACAGGTGGGAGCATAAGCTCAGCATCCAGACTGAAAGTGCTGCGTCTGGAAGGCGCTGACCCCCTGCCGGACCTGCAGATCGACTGGGACCAGCTGGAATTGTCATGTTTTGTTACCTCATTGAAGCATGCCGTAGGAAGAACAGAGCCTGAACCTCGATGCCATCAGGTTGGAAAAGCCTGTAACATCCTTGAACTAGCCCTCCTCACAGTAGTAGGTCACGTGCAGAGCCTGAGCTCTTAACACTATCAGCGATTTGGCCTGCGATGTGATGTTGATATCGCAATCCTGTGATCAGGAGGATTCCCAGAACCCGCAGTACTGGAAAGAGTTGGGAGGGTGTTGTCCTCATCCGCCTGGTTTTTGCAGTTTCAAGGTAATGGTGGCGTCGATGTGTCCTGCAGGGTAAAATGAGCGCACACCGTAAAGCCAAGCTCTTGTGTAGCTGAAGATGCTTCAGGCATCTCCCGGCTAAAGCGGTAGGGACTGCGTGCAACGCTGGCACTTGCCATCTTTCGAGCGCCAGAGGCTCCTCCCCTCCCCGAGTCCAGAAGGCAATGCGCAGCCGATGGCGACCGACGTTTCGCGACAAGATCGGATGGGATTTTCTGGTGTGGCGGAGCGATAGTGCGTGCGTGTTTTCGGCACAGCCGGACTCGGGATGCTCAGAGTTCCGGAGCCCGCAGCAAGGACTGTGCGCCGTTTTACAAGCCTGCGCTGCAAGAAACTAACGCATGACGACCGAGGCAGCTCTTGAGGCATGGGCCTCAGTTCCAGAACAGCGCAGATCTGAAGCCAGCCGCACATCTTCGTTAGCAGACTTTTCTTTTTGCGAGCGGCAGGCCTTGGGGTCGCTTGCCGCAGGTGTGGATCTTTGCCTAAGCCGCTGTTGCACCTTGCAAATCGCCTTGGGCAGGCTCTCGTGCACATGCCGGCGGGGCTGTACCAGCTTGACACAACCCGAGTGTCAGAAGGAGGCCATCAGCGGAATTGGGGACTCCTGCCGTGCTCAGGTTGTCCGAGCTCGGGATGACGAAGGGGCAGTAGGAGCCTCAGGTGCGCGGCAGCGTGCGCAAGTGAATCGCACGGGTCTCTCTTCCTAGGTTGCGATGACCATCTCTCCTGAGCCTCTCATCGTGGAGGCCGAGCAAAACTTCACCGTGCCCTACGTGGAAGCAGCCGCCCCAAAGAGCAAAGCTGCATTGTGAAGGTGTCACGCAGATTTTGACAAAACCCATGAGTTACTGCAGGCTTATGGCTCAGGTTGATGGTAATTAAGCCCAGCGAACACTGCAAAGCACTGCAGAAGGTTGTGTATCTCAGGTAACTTATTAGGCGTTTGACCGCAGAGACCTTTGTTGAGAAGGGTCAGTGGACGGCCTTTGCATGTCACCGCCTGTGCCGGACTTACCAGCTCTCCTGAGCCCGTCTAAACGAGTATACCCGTCCCCGCAAGCACTGCAGCATGGCTTTTCAGGTGCAGGGCACCACCACATGAGGCTGGCTACCTGCAGTGCCGTTCAGGAGATGACAGCCTTTCCAGCTAGTGGATACAATTCAAATTTTTCGTTCTCAAGGTAGGCCGGTCAGAAAAGGAGCCGTAGTTCACGTGCCACAGCGACACGTAGAAACTTGAGGCTGTCAAGAGTGCAGGTTTTAGAGATTTGTTGACAGTGCCAACTGCAACAGTCGAAGACTTCTCGCAATGGCACGGCAATGTCGATTGTCTGGTGGTTTTCTGGTCCTTGCGGCCTTGTTGTCCCTCGCTCGTGTGGATATGCAGCGGATCTGTCTGCTGTTGTCATGCCGAGTTGTGGAAGATGTGTTTTGCATCTAAGAATCTAAGGTGCGTTAGCTGCCGCTTCAGCACAACATATCTGGCAAGCCCG